TGTGGTTCCTCTGGGAATTGAACCGTAGACTATATGCTCTCTGCTCTGATTTTTTTTTTTATTTTTTATTTTTTCATATCCTAAAAACACCACAGGATCCAGTATATCTTATACATATTCCAAACTAGACTTTATCTCCACACTCTTGTCTTTCTGTCCCAGCGTGGCCTTAAACACAAACAGCCAATGAGAACTCAGATGTTCAGCTGTCAGGTCCAGTTCTGTGCTCTGGGTCCAGACCCCTGTCCCTCACTGTCTCTCTCCTTCTTGTTGTCTGTCTTTTTTGCCTGCGCTGCTATTGGTGGCGTTCAACGTGTCACGGACTAAACAACTATTATGTGGAACCTGTCGGACAAAAGTGGCAATTTCCCATTAGAGCCCCGCTGTTGTGCAGTATTTCTCCCCCCGCGGCACTGACAGAGCCACAGTCTAGACGACTCTAATGGTTTCACATTTAACAGGAACCGTCTCTCTGCGCTCTCACTGCCTAGAGCTGGAGAACCAGATAGAGACACATAAAGAGAGAGAGGGACGGAGGGAGCTCACAGAGCAGCACTTTCTTTTTTAATTATTTGCTGTTGTTTTTGTTTTTTTTCTCAGAGCCACAGTTCTATCTCAGAGTTCAGCCAAAGGCAGAATGTTCTGTCAGCAGTGAGAACTAAAACTGGACTGACTGAAATCACAAACACGAACAGAAACACTAGCATTCAGTTTCATTTGTTTTTATATGATCATTAAATATATATGTGTATATATTTATATACATACATGTATACACATATACATATATGTACATATACTGCATATACATCATTAGGCAATAAGAAAATGAAAGTGAAAATGAAATGACATTTCATTAGAGAGTGAATTTTAAACTGACTGTCAAATTTTATTGTTTTCCTTTATTTTTGTATTTTATTTATTATCCACAGTCCTCCACCCACCCCGATCCTCCTTAAATTCTCTTTTCTCTGACCACTTGTTTCAAAAGATCAAATGTAGATATTTTCTAAATAATAATGGACAGATTTTTAATTAATAGACATTAAATTACCAAAGCAGTCTCAGTCCCCTGACTGAGGGGCTCCATGGTTGTGTGTTGAATGAAGGCGAAGCTCGGACCTGTGTTTTACTGCAGTGATAAAAGTTTAGTGTTCTCAAGTAAGCACTTACCAATTTACAGCTCCACCTCATGGCTGAAGCCTGACTTTAATTATCCTCTTTCACAGACAAGCAGCTGTAATGACCCTCTGATAGTTAAGACTTTATCAATGATCTGATTAACGCGTGGGCCAATCAAGTTCTCTTCAGTGTTCCTGCCTCAGGTCGATGATTGGAAACTGTGGCTCTGCGACTGCCGTGAACTCAATCGTGGATATTTACATGTTTTTCCAATGTGGATGTGTCTTCTCTCCTTGTAATTCCAACGTCAAAACACGAAAGTTTAAAAAAAAAGGAAAGGTCAAATTGAGGCTGTGGCTCACGTCTGTGTTTGCATGAAAAGCAAAGCACGTCATCAATCAGTGTTGCGTCGTTTGGTCTGGAGGGAAGAACGAGAGCGGATTTTGAATTGGTGCACCCGTAATGCTGAGTGGAGATGCAGGATAAATCATCTGTAAGCCTCCGCTCATCCTCATCTATCATGTTCCATATTATCACACATGCTTCTCCCATGTGTCTTTGTTGTGACATTGTGTCTCTGTGACAGACTGTGACTTCAGTAAGACTGATATTACCTTCTGGCCCTCTAACACACACACACGTGGAACTCATAAGAAATAATCTCATCGTTTGTCCGCTTGGCTCCGAAGTTGCTGATTCTGGAGGTACGTATTTGGAGCAGATCAGGCAGCTGAGTTGAGAACGCAGAGCAGTGCTGCAATCCTCCAATTCCCTGCCTGCATTTGAAGGGGAAATTAAGAAAGTAGTTAATCAAAAAGTCATTAGCATACAAGTCTGTGCTCAGTCCAGCCGCTACCCTGCTCATAATAGACACTTAAGCAGGAGACGTGAGGCAAATTACAAGTTTCTTCCACTTCTGCTTGTAGTCTTGAAATCACAAGGATGCGTTGACTCCTACAGGCCTAATGAGTTTTCTGACCCCAAGACCAGAGAAAAAAAAACAAAAAAAAAAAAACAGTTTATTTACCACCCACTGCACAGTTTCCAAAACAGCACAAAGACTGCTGTTTGTGAGGGAATATATACTCCACCAGCATTTACTGTTGTGTTTTCCTTCTAATAAAATTGACAGAAACGTTGACACTTGTGTTTATCGTTGGGCTTCTGTTGAATTTTTCACAACTGCAAAAACAGTATTGTAAAACCAAAGCTCTATCCATCTGTGTCTGCGGACGCTCTCTGCCTCTTTAGGTCTGTGTCGGAATAAAATAAATGTAAATGAAAACATCTAAATTTTACTCTTGCGTCTATAGATATTTGACCATTTATTGACCTGATTGGAGGTTTTTGTCAGGTGACCTTCTAGTCACATTGACTGCAAACCCATCTTGCAGAAAGACTAAATATGCACATCCTTATGCCCAATACAAACAGGAAGAATCACATATTGATTCAATGTACATTTTCTACAGTAATAGTCCGATCTTGCACTTGACTTGGAAAATGAAAAGAGTCAGCAGTATTTTTACGGCCTGAGTTTTATCCTAGGCTTTGACTATCAATAAGTCCGTTAACGTTGGACAGTTTCTGCTCTGCTACTGCATGCATATGTCTGCAGGTAATGAAAAAGTAATGATGGCAAAGGACAAAACTACTGACTTTTTCTGGTCTACTGAAATGGCTGCAGTTTTCAACTTTTATACTGTGTAGTATCCAGGTCCATGGAGGCAGAGTTGGAGGAGGAAGGTATTTTTCTGTCCAGGATCTGGCAGTGACATTAGCAGGTTTTGTTGAAGTTAAATGTAGTGTAGAGCCGTAGTTCACTTGTTGAAGTTAAATGTAGTGTAGAGCCTTAGTTCACTTAACTGAAAATAACAGGTAATAAATGATGAAAATGTATCAATGTTTTGAGTTTAGAAAAAAAAAATAGGATCTACATTTAGGTAACTAACGATAAATCAGCAACCTTGAGTTTCTAAGAAATAGCAAAGCTAATTCTCTGTAGCAGTGGCTTTAACTAAGAGACAGTCTGTCAGTGCAATAGATTAGTATTGACAATACATTGGATTTCAATTGTGATCTATTGTCAAACTTAAGTAAGTTTCCAATATTTGCAAAGTATTTCCAAGTTTATTAAAAAAATGCAATGTTTGTTTTGACTTCAATTTCTGACAATTTAAACATCCCATAAAATTCATTTTCCGTCCATTTTTGCACAGTTTTCCACTTTGGGGCTCCAAACTGAACAGGTAAAAAAAGGGATTTTGTTCAAAATTGTATAAACCTTGAGGCCAAATATTACTAAGCACTGAGGAATAATGGGGAAAAAATGTAATCATTTGATTCCTGACTTCCTGTCTCTCAGTGGCCACACGGTCAGGTCGACATATTTCATCCTGTCAGTCCAGCTGTCACTGAGACGCTCTGTGTTCAACTCCCTGAGGTTTGGTTCTCTACAGGGCGTCTGTTCTGGGTGAATTGAAGCTGACTCTTACAGCGCTCTGCTGACCCATGCAAACCGTACCCACTTTTGGGAAGTGGATAATGGGAAACGTGAGACCCAAGGATGCACAAAGTGCAGCATCTGCAGGGCACACTTTCTAATCGCTGAACGCCAAACACACTTTCTGCGGACACACTCCATTCAGGCCCCTTGGATGCAATAACCAGACTGTGCTGATACAGTGCTGGCTCATTCACTCTTGAACAGGAGGATTTTCAGGAGGCCTTTATTCTTTCAAGGCCGAGGGAAACCTCATTGAGAGGAGACACTTTGAAAAAAGATGCTTAGTCAAGAGCCTAATATTCACCAGGAGGACGAGAGACTGCAGGAATGACAGGACGGAAGGGTGGTGATAAATCAACAACAGCAGGAGAAGAAGTGATGAAGCCACATCCTCAGTGTGTCCAGTCTCAGAGAAAATAAAAAAAATAAAAAAATGAAGGAGGGAAAAAGCCGGCTCGGCAGAAAATAAAATAAAAATAAATGTCTGCCTCAATAAAACAAGTAATGAAACAACAAAACGGGCGAATCCCAAAAGGTGTTATTGATTTGTCTGTAACACATAAAGACACATAAACACTTATGTGTCTGTTGTTTGTTGAGGAGCATGCTGTTTTGGCAGATATTTATAATTCATTTATTTGAGAATGGCAGAGCTCTGCACTGTAATCTGGGACAGGAGCCGCTGTCTGTATGTGTGTGTGTGTGTGTGTGTGTGTAGAAAGAGGAATGTAGTGGTTTCCTGGGATCGTTGCAGGGTTAGCAGGGGGTAGTGTATAAATGTGATGGATTGAACAGCTGTTTTTTTCCTCTCTCTTCAAACCCCAGAGGCTACATGTGTAGAAACAAAGGCCTTAATGAGTTTTTACCTACAGGGAAACGGTGTGTGTGTGTGTGTGCACGTGACATGTGTGTGTGTGTGTGCACGTGCACGTGACGCTAGGTTTGCAGGTTGTACCGACCTGATCCAAGCACCTTGTCGGGTTTTAATGCAAGTCTGACCTTAGAACTCTGAGTAAGCTGACGTGTGCAGCTAAAGGCACTCTTTGAAGGATTTAGCAACATCTCGTGTTGAAGATGTTCCTCCAGTATGTACACGTGCCTGTAATATATTAGTAAAACAGAACTTTTGTCATCATGTTTGTTCTCCATTGCATTTGTTTCATTGGAGACGAGGTATCATCTGCATATGGCTTTATTCAAACACACATAACTAAACCTAAGATGGGGGGCAAGAAAAAAAGAAAATACTTTTTTAATGCCTTCACCTTCTGTCTCTGTTCAACAAAAATGTAATTTTCTGTCATTTTAAAACATTGAGCCAACTTTAGATAAACTTTTCCTGCCTTCTTCTTCTTCCACCTCTTCTGGACAGGTCGACAGGGCTGTCCGCCGGAGAAGTTTGATTGCGGAGGGACCGTCAACAAATGTGTTTCATTGTCGTGGCGATGCGACGGTGAGCGGGACTGTGAGAACGGTGCCGACGAGGAGCACTGTGCCGCCGGTGAGTTTTTGTTTTGTTTTTTATAGTAGTACTGAAAATTGAATTAAAACTTAAAACTGGTTTCATGAGGGAAAGTTAGTGTGCACATGATGATCTTTCTACAGGCATTTTTGTGTTTGTGTCTTAGTTTGAATCAAAAAAATAACTAAGACCTTGTGACTGACCTGTGTAAAAAGTCTTTGACACCAAATTACCAGGTGTCACCACTGTTATTTCTAGCACTAAAGGCTTCAGGATTTTTTTTTCTTGTGTTTATACGTATATATAGATATATATGTTTATATATTTTTTATATGTACATATAAAATATGTAGCCTTTGTGGGGAAAAATGCTAAGTTACATTGAGGAAAAAATACAACGTAAAAACATACAAAGACATACACACAAATAGCCATTCCTTTTGCCTTCAAACCGTGTCACTTTTGTATTTTTTCATGGAACATACACTCTTTTGTCATATTTCCTATTGTTCCCCATCACAGCCGACATTAAAGCTCCAGAAACTTTATTGATTTCCATCAGCGTAAACATCTGAGCTACACTGTTATTGATTTTCTCAGGCCTGTGAAAGAAGCACATACATGGGAACACATACATGCACACGCAGCACTTTACCTTTGGAAATAAATAGACTGCATGTTAGAAATGGCCTTTACTGAACTTTATTCCGGAATCAAAGAATATTTAAAATATGTTGTAACAAACATTAGAGTTGTTGTGTTTTAAACTGGGAAAAAACGACCAGAAACAGACAAATGGTGAAGCTGACCAACAGTAAACGGATGACGTGGTACAGAAATATATTAAATACGACAGTTGTAGAGTCGTAATCGTACTGAAGATTTGTACTTTGAATGCAGTTAGCAAATTAAAAAAACTGCACAGATAATTACAGATGAAAGCATCGTTGTTTTAGTTCATGTGATTCAGTCGTCAGCCAGAATTAAAAGTTAAATTGAACAGGAAAAAAACAATAGTCATCGTCTTCAATGTGTGATAAAAATGTGATTAACTGCTAATAAATACTAACAAAGAACTTAATTATAAATATTTTTATCACGTCCCACCGATATTTTTTCTACAAGATTTAATTAAGGTTTTTACATTCTGAAGCCTCATAAAATATGATTTAATTAGGTGTTAAATAAGGACATTGTGTCTACCAAATTAATTGTTTGACATTTGTGGATTATTTCTATTATAGTCTGCTTTTGAAGATTCAACTTTTCTGGTACATGAAAAAAACAAAACTTTAAAAGGCCGCTGCTGTTCAGCAACACATTCTTAATATAATAATGTTTGGTCAATTCTTTCTATTTAAGAACAACACCAAGTTATAAATATCTTCATACAAACTCCACAAATAATTCTGACATTCAAAACACTGGCTTTTTGCTTTAGTTTTTTTTTTTCTACACACACATTCAGGTGATTCTCTTTTTTTCTACATTCCTGGATTCATGTTCAGGTTTTCTTGACAGCTGCTTGAAGCATGTCTTCACTTCCTCTTATTTCCATGATTCCCCTCAGCCGCCGATGCTGACTTCATCTGACTGTTTCTCTGTGTCTCTCTCTTCGCCGAACCATCCGTCTCCTCTCCGTCTGTGAGTTTTCACCAAGCAATCACGTCAGGGAGTTTGTGGCCAAGACGGAATATAAACAGCAGTCACTGTTGATTCAGCCAGTAATGCTGAGCCACCTTTCAAACACGTAGTCTGTCTGTCTGTCGGCCTCGTACACCTGACTTTGTCCATGTTATACGGCCGTGAATGCAGAGTTTCATAATCAATGTTTCATTTTTCATGTCTGTTGCCGTTCGGCGGTCTGACCGTGATGATGCCTCTGTCTGTTATTACAGTTTTCAAAGAGGTCTGTTAATAGAGCTGTGTAACATTTCATCAAGGGTCTTGGTGTTAATTGATTTCCTGCCTGAAGTGTGGACCAACACGCTGCTGTTAGGGACGTCACCTGGAGATCAGCTGGGTTTTAATGTGTCATTTATACCTGATGATGGTGGTGATAAATATGAAGAGGTCGGATGTGAGTTCATACATGAAACCCCATGTGTCTGTATAGATACAGTCACTACTGATCTTAACTATGGGTCAATTTTCTTTAGAGACCTGATAACTCACTATAAATATATATGTATATATATACATATATGTATATATATGTGCTGTACAAACCAAAAGTACACAAAGAAAAAAAGTAACTATAAAGTTAAATACTGTTTACATATAAGACGTGTAAACATTAGGGAAGAATTGTAAAAATGTAATGTAAACATCATGGTAGGATTTAGACGATAGTTTGTAAATATCTTTTAGAAATCTCCAGGTTTAAACTTTTGTTCAACCTCTCTCTTTCCTTCCTCCTTCCTGTGACAGCAACACTCGCTCTACAGCTAATGCTAATTATAGATGCTAATAGAGCACAATCTGAATGTTGAATAAAACATGGCTCCAGGAATAATGGTCCATTATTATATTAAGGGGAGGCCTCTGAAGGAACTTTGTCAGCCTTAAATTTATGGAAATAGGACGTCGTGTTTGCTCAGACGCACACTTGGAGCGGTGTGTTTCCGTGCTTCAGTGTGTGTCCAAATTAGAGAAGTGCTTCCGAATATTTGATGAATAGTAATCCTGCATGTTCTTCTTGAATAAATAAATAATACAGAACAATAAAAATGAATTATTCATCTGCTCGTTAATACTCACTGTTATAATAAAGAAAGTCTGTTTGCAGTCGTAGGTTCGCACGTTTAACCCTTTCCTGATACATTTCTAAATTTGAGGCATAGATTTGTACACTTCACCGTACACCACGTACAACTGTCATCTTATACTAGTTACTGCACATACAATTGCATCATAAACATGGCTAATTAAGGTTTATTTATTTTGTCAGATATCAAATGAATAACATCAAACTTTCTGCATCGACAACATGGCAGTTGGACAGAAAGTGAGCAGAGCTTTTTTTCAGGTGAATGACTGAGGGGTTTTTCCACAGTATACACAGTGTTACCGCTCCCCAGTTAAAGTGCTTTTCTACTTTTAGTTTGAACTTTGCTCATGTTTACTCAGTTTAGTTTTCTGTCTCTTAAATGTCAGTAGTCTCTCTGAGGAGAGGACGCAGAGACAGACAGTCGTCTGAGAGACTGTTTCAGGCTCTGGAGACCTGTTGCTCTTTTCACAACACTCCTGTCCTGCAGTGTTACATTACAACAGGCTGCTGGATCGATGCCAGCGTTAGATGGTATTTTATGACAAGGCAAAGAGTCGGATGAGTGGTGTTCTTGTGTGTGTGGCTTTGCGTGTGTGTGGTGTACTGTGGTGCAGAAGGATGGGAGTACATTAAGTCACTCGGAGGAGAGAGGTCGGTCGATCAGTTCAAGTGCGTTCTGTACATGAATGAAATGCTCTGTCAGAAGGATAGATACACAGTCAGAAGGATAGATACACAATCAGAAGGATAGATACACAGAATCAGAAGGATAGATACACAGAGTATGCAGAAATGTTCTGTACGTTCATTCAAGCAAACTACCACAACAGTCTTCTAAATTTGAACTTTAACACCTCAGTCTACGTATACATGTTTAATATACTGTCTATACACTGCAATTATTATAAATAGATTTAATCAAAGTGAATTGCAAAGTAATTACAACTCACCAGACCATGAAAATGACAAATTCTACAGCAGTCTGACACAAGAGGGGCATTGTGGGTATTTTTAAATGACTTGATGATTACATTTTTTTTCCCTCCCATTTTAATTCATGAAAGATTTCAGCTTTGGATACTGAGAGTTTATAGTATGAATACATTAATTATTTAAATGATTATTATTATTCTGTGAACTGGCAGTGATGGTACAATTGTTTGTTTGTTAATATGTAAGATTTGGAGCACGTGGCGTCGTGAGTGAACTGAAAGCCACGTCACATTTTACAGTTAATGACATAAACCTCCGGGAATAAAATGTGATTAGTTGAGAAGAACAACAACCTCGATGTATTTTTATGTCAATACATACACCTACATATACACAAGGTCCCACAGAGACATCCACCAAACAACATCCACTTCACTGTGATTACTCTTATTATTCCTCCAGTAGCTGCTGCAGATTCAGAGACACTGATTTTTTTCTTTCAGCAATTTCAGTTATAAATTACAATATCTGTAAATATCACAGCAGGTATTTTATCATGCTCTTTTTTTTGTTTGTTTGTTTTTTTTTAAACTTGGCTGCCAAGTTTAAATTTAATTGCGAGTTGAGGGGGAAAAAAAAGTTCCCCACGTCAGCAGACTTTTGTTTGAGTACCTCAGCATATTTGGAGCATTTGTGTGTTAATACCTTGGGAAATTTTTATTTCATAAAGAGAGTAAGCAGATTTCACAGAAAGGAAGTGTGATGTGATTACGGTTAACACAATATTCTGGTAAGTAAGAAAGAAAATGCTTTCAGAGGCTGTTCAGCTCGGAATATTGTGGTTTTATTTCTTCCAGCTGACAGAGATGAGTGACATGTGATATTCCCTGCAGTTCCTCAACTGTGTTAACAGCAACCCTGGGCCTTGTAATCTCTGTTTGGACTGGCTATGGAAAATAGAAAGTTTTTTTTTTTTTTTGAACTGACAAACAGTAGCTTTCCTCAGTTTGTCTGTCATCGAAGAATTCATCCCCTCACCGTCAGTCTGTCAGTTCTATTAGGAAATAAAGATGACTTTTATTTTATATCTCAAAGCAACTGAAAAATGTTTTTAGTGTGTGAGTGTGTGGGGGCGGGTCAGACAAAATGACAGGTAGTCCCCCCTGTAGGGCTCTCACAAAGTGTTTATCAGTCTTTGCTACAGTGGACCTTTAGAACATTGACACACACACACACACACACATGCCAAACACAAATACACGTCCACAGCGACAGCTCTGGTTCCCCAGAGGGTCTGGAATCAAAGGCAAAATCCATGAATGATATATAAGAACCTGACAGAGCCATCTCCGACGGAGGGTCCGTGAGAGAAAAATAGAAAAAAATAGAGAAATAAAAGCATTTGCAAACATTTTTTGGACAAAAATGAAAAAATTGTTTGACTCAAAGTCCCAAATACTTACTAATGTATCAATAAAAAATGATACAGTGCTGTAGAATATGGTTACGATATCTAGAAAAAAGTGATATTCTCACAGCCCTAGTTAACACAGGCAGATGTGTGAATTAAATCTGTTTTCACACGTCTCAGAAAGACGTTCTTCCTTAAAGAGGTTTCACCTGATTATGCCTTAAATACTTCTAAACCAGACTCAGACTGAATGTGTGAAGTGACTCAGCCGTCATTAGTGAGACCTGGAGGAGCTGCTCATCGACTGTTTGGGAAACGGTGCTTATTTGCTCCCTCAGTTTCATTTGGCCAATTGTTAGAGTGCACGGAGATAACAAGTTTTAAAAAAGATGGGATAACGTAGACGCGGTGAAATAAAGTCCTGTGGTAAAGTTTCAACATCGTCGAGTTTGGTTAAAGTGCAACATTAACATCTGTTTTGAGGGTTTAAAAAACTGTCTAAGAGATGTATTAGATCTGTCTTAGAACTTTTTGACACCCCAACAAATACACTGAAAACACCTTCAAATGTCTCATGTGCAGTTTTTTGTGTTTGACAAGACTTGACATTTAGCCCTTCCTGTATAAAATAGCTGCCTCGACATTTTGCCTCTGTTTTGCTGTCCAGGGTCCAATTTTATGAGGTCGGGCTCTCAGTGGAAAATGTAGTTGTCAAAGTGACAGATCATACTGGCTCCACCAGTCTGATCTCACACTGAAACCTGCAGGAGTGTCTTTGTTGCTTTGTCCAGTTTCCATGTAATGATCCTGTCATAAACCAGTTGCGATACATATTGAAAGAGTGAGCAGAAAAGTTTCTATGTTTTCTTTTGGAAATATTCCCATGATCATAAATCACCATGAATGCACAGGATGACACCAAGATAAACTCTTGTATCTCTGACAGCTTCAAGCATCTGTGACTCCAGAATTTATTTTCCTCCTGATGCTCTGATATTAAAACTATTTTAAAACCTATTGATATTTCTGCAGTGGATGGAGTTTTTGTTTGCTTTGTTTTTGTGTCTTCTGTGCACTCCATTAATCCTGGTCTCCAGTGAAAACGCCTTCAGATGATGTCGTCTGCTATTAGCTGATTGTCCCGTCACCGTGTCTCGTCTCTTGTCTCAGTGCAGCCATTTACACCTCACCGTGGATTTGTGATCTTGGTGGTAAATTGAAGCCTGTAGACGGGTGTGCTCTGTGTGGGTGAAGGTGTGTCTGTCGCAGCTGTCGTACACGGCTGACGTGTTAAACCAGATTCTGATTGGATTCAACGCTTTCGTAACATTGAGTGCAGTGACTCGTGAAAAAGGTTGAAGGAAGGTGTGTGTGTTTTTATACTGAAATACCCTTTTGATGGAAAAAACACCCACTAATTCCCACAAAGCATTAGGTTTCTCGTTTGCAGCATGATTAGGAAAACTCAGTTTGTGGTTCCCAGGTCTCTATTTGGTTGTTTTAAGTTTAAATTTTATTCTTGATACAGATTTCTCTTTCCCCATAAGGTGGTGTTAAAAGTTCACAAACACCAATACTGTGTAAAGAAAAGCATTTTCAAATTTAGGTTCGGTAAGGTCTATGGAAAGTTTGGTTTTTAAATGTTTTTATTTGTTGCTTTTTTCTTTACCCAGAGGAACTGTTTACCGACTCAGAGCGGCGTCTGTATCAAGCATGTGTGAACATGCTTAGACTGTAGTGCAGGGCAAGCTAAAAAAAAGTAGTTCAATCGTCCTTCCAACTGAGGTCAATGAGCTGTGTCCAATCTTTCTGCTCCATTTACTACCTGTCCAGCTGAGGATCAGGGAAAGATGGATAAAGGGCTGGAGATAAACATGTTCACCTTAGAGTTCGACTGGAGTTTGTAATTGGTTGCAAAATACTGATCACCAATATAAAATCCAGTCAGGTCAGGTCCATGTCACAGGCTGCTCTCTGGTCCATCACTGCACCTACAGTACCACAGCATGTGATGTATGGAGTCGATTTAATGTATTCTGGATTTAATGTATTCTGGGCTGAATAGTGACTTTATGTTGTTTGACTGTTAGTGAAGAAGCTAAAAATTAGCACGACTCTGGAGCCCCGGGCTGCAAACCCCTCTCTTAGCTCCTCTCCCCTCTTCAACCATCTTTTTCTTAGACTTGTTTATGGTCTCTTGACTGAAGGCTGTCTTCACTGGCTCTATGAGACTTGTGTGGCCAGGTGACAAGATGAAGTTATTGAACAGCGCCACATCCAGGTTGTTGCTGTCGAGGCATCAGAAAAAAGAAGAGTTCTCTGCTGGTTTTTGACGCCAACCTTGGATGGATATTGTAAAAAGAGAACACAAGGCTACAGCAGTTTGGACTGGAAACAATTGACTGAAAAATCTATGGTTGTTTTGTTTCAGGTCTTTTTCAATAAAACGCGGTGCAATTTTGTAAGTTGTAAACCCATTTGGGACAAAATTAGCAGAACTCAGAAAAGAGTGACAAAGGATGGTACGATGGCGTGGACGCAACATGAGTTTTACTAGCTGGACAGTACAATAGAAGGCTGCAGGTGACAACACCTTTGTGGATTAGTGAAAGGCCACTTTTAATAAAACCTGTGAATTTTAAAGCCAGGCCAGACCGACTTGTTTTTATCTTTAGACACAAATCCAATGAAGTGCCGGCCATCAGTGTGTTCCCTTCGTGGAAAGGATTCTCTCCTGTAACTCACTGCTCCTCTGGGAGCCGTGGCTACAGAGCAGGAGCTGCTGATCCCTGCCTTGATCTTTACAGCCAGCACACCTGGCCGACCAAACTCTGCTCACTCTTTAATGAAAAAATATAAAATAAAACTAAAAGCAAGGAAACTCCAAAGAGCTTTGCTGCTTTGTCAGGCCACTGTCACCTGCTGGGAGAATGTGTGCAAAATATGTTTGTAATTTACATTACCTGAAGGATTTTAGCCTCTTTTTTTTCTTTCTTTTTTCTTGTGTTAAAAAGAGTTTTATAAAAATAATAACCACACTAATTGGTTTTTACAAAAACACCTCATGTGACCCTGGTCTTCCTCCGAGACGCTCCACATATTGTTTATGTGTTCATGTTAATTAAATTACAGCACCTAGATCTGAGTGGCTATGATTAGCGTGCTACCAGTAATAGCTAGCAGGGAATCCAACAGTCTATTATCATAATGAGTCCCTGTGGAACACGTGTAAGAAAGAAAGAGAGAGAGAGAGAGAAGGAAGCATTTATGTCGTTCGTCCAGAGAGAGAAGTTACTTCAAAGGTTGTTTTTTTTTTCTTCCTTTGGGAGTATTTGGGATTCATTTGTTACATTTATTAAACCAGGATACAATTAGGTCGAGTCACTGACGAGGTCTGCCCTGGGAAAAACTACTGCTGTTGCACAAACCCACGAATTCTACATCTGAATTCTACAGAAATGTGGTTCAATGACATTTAAGAGTTGATTTCTCAGTTGTCAGAAGACCACAGTTACAGGAGGATGGAACATTCTAGATGATGGATGGATGGATGGATGGATGGATGGATGGATGGATGGATGGATGGATGGACCCGGTGCCTTTATTGTGTTTCAACCTTAAGGATGGATGGACGGATGGACGGATGGACCCCGTGCCTTTATTGTGTTTCAACCTTAGATTACATATTTTCTTAATCTGACAAAATGAGATCATGAATCATTACCAAGAATATCTTTGTTTCTTACCTTTTTTATTTTTATTTTGTTTGTTCTTATTCTGAATTGATTTTTTTTGGACAATTTTGCCATCTATTTATTTCAGTAATATTACACTATAATATATTTTAGTTATATTACCAACATTGATCATTTTTTCCTCTATTAGCTGTTCCCACAAAAAGAAGTCAAGAAAAGATTTTAGACATCTGCTAAATTTAAACACCCCAACTTTTAATTTTGTTTCTGGGTGAGGGAAGGAAGACATTTATAAATCTCTGGTCCCTGGTCTCCCATGGAGTTAAATATATATGCAGTGATAACTGTTAACTACATCTGTGCTCTCTGACTCACTCTGTCATTTACTCCCACGTGCTGTACCTTCTGCTTCCACACGGACTTTGGATTCTTTCACTATATATACTGTATATATATATATATATCGCTACTTCCTGTTCAGTAAAATCAAACACCTTTTTAGAGCTCACTATATATACTGTATATATATATATCGCTACTTTTAAACACCTTTTTAGAGAGAGGCAAAACTCCATCTTGAATGGGGTTTTTAATAAGTTATTTAATAAGGTCTTTATTAAACTTTCTTTTCCATTTGGGGAACTAAAACCACTAAGGATTTCATTGTACTCAAGCATTTGCTTCCCAGTTAGAATTCAAACATTTTCGTTCTAGAAAAACCTAAAAAGCTGACACAGTCTTGGCAGTGGCAAACGTCATAACATCTAACACCAACTTTCTCCTGTCTTCCTTTACATATCCACAGACGCCAAGGCCTGTCCCTCCAAAGACTTCCAGTGTCGTAACGGCAGGTGTTTGTCGCCCGGCCTGGTGTGCGACGGCGACGATGACTGTGGGGACGCCAGCGATGAGGAGAAGTGCACAGCTCCCACCTGTGGGCAGCACGAATTCCGCTGCAATGACTCAGAGTGCATCCCTGCCCTGTGGAGCTGTGACGGCGACCCGGACTGTAAGGACAAGTCAGACGAATCCATGGAGCGCTGCAGCCGGAGGACAGAACCACAAAAGCCTCGCTGCCCAGTTGGGGAGTTTCAGTGTGGAAGCGGGGAGTGTGTCCACATGAACTGGAAATGTGACGGAGACGCAGACTGCAAGGATAAATCTGATGAAACAAACTGTCGTAAGTCAACTTTAAGACTAACATTTAGATGAATGACAAATTTGGTGCTGCTGTCTGATTGTTTCCAAACGAAGCCTCGGACAAAAATGAGGAGAGCAAGTCTTATAAGAGCAGCTCTGCATGAATGTAAATATATTTTGGACATAACTATCAAAAAGAGACTGAAGGCATAGTCTTCTGAATAAGTTTTCAAGTTAAAAATGAGTCCTGTTAATTCTTTATTTTTCACGTGGGCTTGACTTACAGCTGCAGACTTTGTCCATTTCTTATATACTGTCTATGGAATGGCTAATGCCTCTATTTGTTTATTAATTATCAAGAGAGCCCCAAGTGGCCACATTTTTCCCCATTAACGAGACTTTCCTTTGTGTTTGCACGGTATGATTGAGCATTTTCCCAGTGCTATAAAACTCCAACGTTGTTGATGATCATTGGAAAAACCCATTAAACAGAAGGTCTTTTGACAAATTCTTTAATTAAAATGAACACAGTCGGTATACTTTCTCTGAGGCGTCCTAATGATTTTTCTACTTTCTCTTTCAATTCCAAGTTGCAACCTCAATACTTATAGAGGCGGAGGACAATAAACTTGTAATTCAACATTACTGTTTACTATAATGGGTTAATGTGTTAATTTCAATGGCAGTACTAATGTTTCTGTTACTAGATTTATCTGTTCTACAGTATAAATGCCACACAGAGATTAGAATTATGGTTATTGGGGGTTGTAGCAATAAAACCTAGGACCAGTCTCGGTGTAACAGTGTAATTTTTTGTGTGACAGCAGCTATATAAGCTATAAGCTACGTAGTGGCAGACTGCTTCAGGACCACACTTCAAAAGATGACATGCAATGCATTGTGGGCCGGGATTAGGTGACAGATCCCATTGTCCCACCACGTGTCTGAAGGGAAATCAATGCAAACTTTATCACGATGGCTGTTGGAGTGTGTGTTGCCATGCAACCATGTTATCCTCCTTAGACGAGGGACAGTGTGTGTGTGTGTGCACATATGACCTTATGTGTATGTGGTGCAGGAATGTATGTGCATGAATATGTGGGAGGTGAAGGTCCTTCATCCAGTGAGACTCCCATCTGGTCTCCTCTTCACACTTTCACACACTCCACTCAGGAAGATGAAAGCGGTGTGACACTGTACGACCTCATACGGGCAAAGTGTACTGCCACACAAACACACATACAGTACAGTCACATGGCTGCATGCATACAGCGCAGTGCTTTAGCTTAGCTTCACTTAGCTTTTTTTTTAGCCTATTGTCTGTATGTCTGTGTGTGTGAATGCCATTATATACAGTACAGGCTCCAGGCAGAAACCACTGCCACAGTAAAGGTTTGTTAGTGACAAGTTCTAAATAATAATATGAATAATTAAACCATTATTGATCCCACATTTGGAATATTCTTGTGATAACAACAGCATGTGGTTTCTCTGGGAATCGGACCCCGGTCATAGTACGCTCTGCCTCCGACACAAGTGCGGGTGGTGAGTCCACTGGAAGGTAGGTTTGTTAATGACAAGTTCTAAATAATAATATGAATAATTAAACCATTATTGATCCCACATTTGGAATATTCTTGTGATAACAACAGCATGTGGTTTCTCTGGGAATCGGACCCCGGTCATAGTACGCTCTGCCTCCGACACAAGCATGCTAACCGCTTCACTATAAAACCACCAGGTTCTTATGTCAATTCATTAGAAATCAATCTGAACCAGAGTCAGCTTTATTGTTGTTTTACACGTAGAGCAAAAATGGTTTGTAGATTATACAGAATACTCAACATAGTAGAAGGAATATTTTTTAAAATACAGCAATCCTTGTTTACTAAAGATTCTGATTCTCTGGGTTACATGCCTTGTGTGTACTACTACGTTTCCATACGCATTTGTGTACATACTCAGTTTCTCCATTATTTTATAATTAAATTGGATTTATAATATTATTTAAATGGAATAGGAATTTATTAGAAATCTTATTAAAAAATTGTTAGTGAGACATCATCAAAGATAGTCGATGGTGGGCTTTCTGCTCTGCTGCTGTCTGCAGAGCCCTCTCCTGCGTTTACTAGACCGTCTTATTGAAGACATTTGTCTCAATAATCTGTTGTTATTTCATAGACACGCTCTGACAGGTGAGTAGGAGTCCGTCGGCAGGAGGTTAATGTAAATGAGATACAGTGAAAAACCGTCATTTTCTCGCCCGTTGCCTGTCAGCACATCTGCAGATGGCAATTCTTTATTACTGCGATTCATCTTGGGAATTTATCATAATTACCTTGAGCTCACGTCCCAATTATTTGGCTGAAAGAATCAGCACATTCTGCTGATGGCACAGGGGTGTGTCTTTCACGCTGCGCTGCTTTGAACCCGTCTATGAATTTGTCTTTATTCATTTTTTTATTCATTATTATTATTTTTACATTTATTTACGCACTAAAAATGTGAGTCAGCTGCCCTGTGGCTTCACATAAACGTGCTCACGTCTAACAACCTTCCTACATTTACCTTCTCCCTGTACAGTAATTGTGTGTCGTGCATTTTTGTGACCTGTAGTTGATCATGTATGCCTTCATCCCCACGGCAGAGCGGGTCTACAACCCAGAGCATGAATATTTGAACAGCCAGTTAAAAAGACGAATGTGTTAAATAAACCTTCACGCTGTTGTAAGAGCAAAAAAAAAAAAAATGTGAACGTACAGTTTCCCAGAACAAAGGTCACAGGTGGAGGAGGAATGCCCATCAGATCTACTGTATTGTCTGAACACTGTATTAAGAAGTTTCTGTTTGTGTCTTGTGTTTCTCAGCCCTGCTGACGTGTCGGCCTGATGAGTTCCAGTGCGGTGACGGTTCCTGCATCCACGGAACCAAACAGTGTAATAAAGTCCACGACTGTCCAGACTACAGTGACGAAGCGGGCTGTGTTAATAGTAAGTAGTAGATTTGGTAAAGATATTCATACTGGATCATGTTTATAGTCTTATTGTCTTCTATGAGTACAGTATAATTTCACTGTGGTTGGTAGTTGTAGTTGGTCGAAGTCTCATGGTTACTTTATTTTTAACTTACTTTATTGTCTATTTTCTACTAAATAAGATTGAAATTGATTGAAGAATTTGAATCTATTTTCTACTAAATAAGATTGAAATGTGTAGAATTTGATTGATTAAGGAATATCAGAAATTCAATTCAGGATAAATATTGTCTGAGAAAAATCTTGAAAAACCCTTTTTTAAAAGTGAACCTGAAAAATGTAAACCTTTCCAAAAACAGTATCAAAGACCACGGCATTTTTCAAAGACAGGAAAAGAGGAGAACAAGGGTGACAAATAAACAAACAAAACCTGTGAAGTGTTTGTGAGTGTTTGGTCAAAGCATTAAAAATGCTTAAATTCCTCAAGGTTCTTCTTTAATTTGATGCTGTTTCCTCAACACAGTAACAAAGTGCGACGGGCCGAAAAAGTTCCGCTGTAAAAATGGCCAGTGCATTGACAGCAGCAAGGTGTGTGACGATGTGAAGGACTGTAAGGACGGGTCCGATGAACCCATGAAGGACTGTGGTGAGATCACTCTTCAAGTCAAAAAGTTTTAAGACAGATTTTATAGAAAGTGTTTTTGTCATTTTATTGTATTTTCTATTTAATTTTCTTCTACTTTTTAACTTATTCTTCTATATACACTTCACACACACACATATATTTCCACATAAATTAGTTTTCCATCATGGGTGTGGGGGTGTTAGAGACACTTGAGCAGCACTTGATCAAAGCAGGTTGAGTCAGGACATTTCTGAACTGCCTTGTTATGATCAAAGAGTCAAACAGCTCTGCCCTTTAGTGCAGTCTCATCCTATCAGACGTGACTGGACTGCGTTCTCCATCAGGACTGATACAGATTATCCTCACACCATAAATAATTACCACTCAGTCATGGATTTTACATCACAAGAAGTGCAATCAAGACATAAACACTGCCAGGCTGTTGAGGGAAAACATTCTGTACTAGTTGATACAAATCCATCACAGGGATTGCACATGAAGTAACCTCAGTGAAATGTAAGTTAGTGTAGTAGGTGAAATCCTACGTACAGTTTATTTCAAATACTCCACCCTGCCTCACTTCACTGTTTTCTTGAACAACTTTTTCCTGTAAAAAAAACGTCACCCACTTGCCCTCTGTGATGGATGTGTTTACTTTGGCAGTTAAAGACTCAGTATTTACTCTGACATCAACAACTTCAAATCTCTAACTCAATTTCAGAAGTCGGTAAACTTTCAAAAAAAAAACTTCTGCTGGAGGATCTGGATATATGGTATTTCTGTGGTTCAATGATTTTTTTTAAGAAAACACGGAAACTGCAATTCATGCCGAAGGCTCTGCTTCAGGGGGAAAAAGCAAGAAAATGTTTTAGTCTAACTATATTATGAGCTAAATGTTTTAAAAAATACTGGTATCAATTCAACATTGACATTATTTTAAATGAGTCTACAACAGGTAACAGGTGCACATGTACAAAGCTGATTAGCATTAGGCATTAGCAACATGCTAATCTCCCATCACAAATTTCACTTTCCTTTTTGCTAATCTCCCATCACAAATTTCACTTCCCTTTTAGTTTATCTCTCTCTCTCTCTCTTTCTCTCTCTCTCTCTCAGTTTCTCTGTCTGACAATGGTGGACCTGTTGCCTTTAACATATTAATTTTAAATGTAACACAGGTGTAATCTACCGTCTCCTCTACCCTGCCTCTGTGACCTTAAAAAAGATAAATAGAGGAATATAACGGATACAAATAGAAAGAAAAAACAGAGACAGAAAGATGGAGAGACAATTTCCATCTGTTCTGCTAGAAACAAAAGGCTTGGAGGAAATAGAGACATGGTCATTAAAGGGACCAGGAGAGCTTCTGGCTGTGCATCATCATCATCATCATCATCATCATCATCAGCATGCATCATAGAGCAGTGGCACCTGGGCATATGGACCAAATCCCTGTGTAGAAATGGATATGTTCCAAGTGTGTTTGGCTGAGACCTGTCCTCAAGGCCATGTGCACTCACACCAGCAGCCCTGCATAGATGTATATTTATATATATATATTCTGCACATATGTTTACTCTGACATTAGAACAGGCCAAGCCCACTCCCTAGGGTCAAGTGTTCCCCCCAGGGTAGGCGAACCAAAGAGTCAAAGAGTCGCAGAGAAGGCCTGCATGAAGTTGCATACATGGAGTGAAATTATTATCGAACGATTATAATCCTTCGTGAATGCCCTTTGTAAAAAGTTGTGAAAATAAAACTAATAAATTCAATCAGTTGTTAGCACACAGAAAATGCATTTACTGCAGAGGCATGTGTGGGTTAGAGCAGGCGGACAGGATTTTGGGGAAGAGGGGCTCAGCTGTCTTATTTTTTGAACCAAAGAAAAAAACCTCTCTCTCTCAGTAACAAAATGACTTCAGAACACAAGACTTTGGACAGGGATGATGCATTTCTTCAACCATGCCTCTATTTTAAAGAGTTACAACTGTATTCCCCACGTAACGTCACATTGTATTGTTACATATCGTAACCTAAAAAACAAAATGTTCATCTTCAGAATACCCTTCCACTCAGTAAGGAGCAGCGAAATATCATCCGGTCTAATGTAAAGCTTTCAAACTGACAAAATGCCTGGATATCCTACAACATGCCCTACAAGTATAGTTTAACAAGTTATGCAGGCATGCACACACACACACACACACCACCTGTTTGACCTTCAAGATGGCATTCCTTTTTAATATGGACAGACAGATCATTTCAATATTTTCTCCGTCCCTCCGTCTTACTTGCTGCATTGTTATGTCCCAAAGCCTTGTGGATTTGCTTCATTAAAATTCAATTTCCATTTTTCTTTCTTTGGCTCCGTCTCTCTAACACTGTCTGTCCGTCCCCTGCTTACCCTTCCTCCGTCCTTTCTCCTCCGCAGGCCTGAATGAGTGCGCTGACAACAATGGCGGCTGCTCCCACATCTGCAGGGACCTGAGGATCGGTTATGAATGTGACTGTCCTCCTGGATATAAACTCCTGGACAAAAAGACTTGTGGAGGTAAAGAAGGAAAGAGTCTGAATCTGAGCAGCTCCGTGAGCAATGAGAATTTTAAAGGATACTTACATTTCACGACCCAGAGAAGATTCTGCTTTGTGTGTGAGCCACGTCCCAGTGTGTTTTTTTAATAGGCTGTAATGAACAATATTATATTTTATTTAATGTTATATTTTTGATTTGAGGATCATTTTTTTACTGTTTATATTTATGTAGTATACAAATTTTTTACTGTTTATATTTATGTAGTATAGAAATATATATGTATAAATATATGCATATACATGTATCTATGTGTATATACATACAAACAAATATAAATATAGATATACCAGTTTATTGTGGTTATAGAGAGAGTATTTATTATTCATTAGTTTGTTTTTGTTTTTTTGGTCTTCACAAAATTAAATTCATTTCATTTGACTTCTTGTGGTAACCCGTATATATATTTGTCCTAATTGTTATAGATTAAGGTAGCCATGCGAATGTTTCTATTATTTATAAAACATAGATATTCTATCAACATTTCATCGACTGTTGAGAGGAGTCCAGTCAATAAACTAAAAAGAAAATCTTTATCCAGCAGATGTTCTCTTGGATCCGGATGGTTTAGCGTGATCTACCTTTTTAGACTAATAGAAGTGATTTATGTGTCATCCCTGTAGGCAGACTAATTAAATAACTTGACTCGGGTTTAAAGAGCCTGAAAGATTTTAAATGTCAGATTAAGAAAACGTCCTCTCGAAAGGCTTCCTTTACCTACAGGACATGATATGAAGTTTTTTTTTAGTTTTTTTTTTTATCTTATCTTCTTCTTGTGCCATATTTCATGTCCACAGATATTGATGAATGTGAAAATCCAAACGCCTGCAGTCAGATCTGCATCAACTATAAGGGGGATTTCAAGTGTGAGTGCTACGAAGGCTACGAGATGGACCCTGTCTCTAAGACCTGCAAGGCTGTGGGTGAGTTGTTCATCACACACACACACACACACAGAGAGAGAGACATGCAAACATCCACACCTATTGGTGTGGATTAAGACACATTCTGTCACAGATGGATGTTCTCACCCAAATTGCATCACACACACACACACACACAGCACTCACACACACACACCCACACTTACGCCCTTAGCTAGTGTGGATCCCACACTGTTTCTCACACTGCAGGACTCACAGAGGGTTGCTTTGTATTCAGGCCCCGAAAAGCAATCTGTGCAAAGATAAATATTTGCCATCTTTTTCCTGCAGTCCTCACTAATGAAAAGTTTGCAGCCAGCTGCCTCTGTTCTCCTTGGAGTGTCAAGGGAAGGATATTGTGTTGGAGAGAAGCTGCCCACTCACTACGGGTCTGTGGGTCTTGTCGGCCTGGGTAAACACTCCAGGACAGTGATATGAATGAGAATATAATCTAGTACTCAAAGCTCAGAGCAGCAGGCGTGATTGTTAGTCAGAAATGCACTGAGGTAAGAATGCAGTGTGACTTTCTGACTTTATTAACAGCAATGATGGCGCATTCAGTACGCAGTGTGGCTCACATCCAGAAATAAAGTCCAGGGAACTTTTCCTTTCTTTATGTAAGAGGAGATTTCAATTGATTCAGTGATTATTTGTTCTTCAGGTGCGGTTTCCTTGGGATTTGAGCTTTAAATAAAACAATGTAATTGTAGAAATGAGTTTGAAAAGTAACGTGTTGATTACATATGTTCTAAACTGTCTCTAATCTGTCTGGGCTTTGACACGTAAAGTTGTCACAGATACAACACAAACAGAAGCTTCTGCTGCTGCTGAGGTTTTCTATAAAATGTTTACCACTAAGAAAACAAAGGATCACGCTTCGTGGTAATAACTTCCTCCCACATCATTTAAATAGCCTTTGTTTGGAAAGTACACAGCAGAGGTTTGTATTTTGATGCTTTTGGAGAAGGAAAAAAAAATCCCCTTATTGTTATCCCATGGACCTGGTAGAATATATGTGTGTGTGTGTGTGTGTGTTTCCTCAGCATGTATTTATTTACATCATAAATAAATTCTATTTTCTTTTGCACCTTTTTTGCTGTACAGTGACAATGACTATTATTCTGAAATACAGTTTAACCCCTGGCACTTTTATAATCCTCATATGCTCATACGTCTTTATATATATAAAAAAGTTGTACCAGCCTGCTGTACGCAGTAAAATTTCATTTCTTTACACCTGTACTACCTGCATTGCTTGCATATAAAAACTCCCATTTTACTACCATGTACGGCAGTATAGTTGTGCCAGTGTGTTAAAGAAGGCAAGTCCAGGCCATAAACTGCTGTCACTGTAAAAGCTCAATGACACAAGTGTCAGATATTCTATTATGGGCTGTTGGTTTGTTGAAAAACCTTTAGGGTTCTTGAATTTCAATGCATTCTGCCGGAAAGCCTGTGGAAATCTCAAGGGTAAAAAAAATCTGAAACTCTTGTAGAATTCTCGGCAAACAGTACTTTCCGCGGCAGTTACTGCAGGACTAAGTATTGTTTCTACTTCTTTTATTTAGACGGAGAATGTCGCCATCAAGTGATTGAGTTACACGGCAAATTAACCTTTCCACGGGGGGAAAAAAACAAGAAGAGAAAGTGAGGTGATATTAGTGATTACAGTCATCGGTCTGAGGTGGACTCATTACAGGACGGACTGGTCGGATAATGAGTGAGCTTAAAGAAGAAGGCAGGAGCTCACTCTTGGGCTAAGTGGCATTAAAACTGCTATTGATCGCTTCATGTGTCTTCGTGCGAGTCTCAGGGAGAGTAAACAGTTCTTGTTGGAGGCCGTAGCATTTATTAGAGGTGAAACCAGGCAGGGAGGAGGGAAAAAGGAGGAATCCATAAATGCATAAATTGCATGAAGATCCTTCATGCTCACCGAGGATTGTTGCACGCCTTGTTGCCAAAGGAAGATGGAAAATGGAAATGCATCAGGATTATGGTTTACGTTAAGGTTTATTAATTCACTTGCACAAATAGAAACGGGGCCATAAAGCAAAGAGAGAGAGAGAGAGAGAGACGTCTGCTCCGTGGAGCTGAGGTAATGTGGACTTAATGAAGCTGACTCTGACTGTGAATTTATCTCTAGACAAACACGCGCTCCACGTTTGACCAGTTAGACGTTCTCAAACTTGGAAATAGTCACACAGAAATGACAGTTTGGTTTTTTTCCACGGGTGAGAGACCATGTGTTCTGTGATTGGATGTGACATGAAATTGGGTTCTGTTTATTTCTGCTTCTGTGTTACAGCCTTTTTGGAGGACATTAACTAATATAAATGTTGCTAATGTAGCTTTTTATCATTGTGTATTATTGAGAAAATTGTAGCGGAGGCCCACAAGGAGTGGGAACCAGTTATAGTAATTACATTGGGCATGATAAGAGCATTTTCCTAATTGGCCAAAATGAGCGGAGGGTGGAAGGGTTTTATGCTAATAAAACAGAAGACGGCAGTTATTGGAATGTGCACACCAGTGAAGTGAGACTTTAAAACTGACACCAAGACTTGTTGACCTGTGGTCGGAGGAACTGCAAAATTACTAATTAACAGTAATAAAAGTCAGAATTTAACAACCGAGTTTAAAACCCCAGAGCAGGTTTTCATTTTTAAAGTTAAATAAAGTTGCAGGAAAGTCTTAAATTGAGGGAGAAGAGGAGGACTTGGAGTTAGGTTAGGTGTCATCTGCTTAGAAACAAGAGAAAATACCATACGATTGTAACAATTTCTGTATTGCTTCGAGGTGAATGAGAAAGAAAGGGGGTCCGGGTACAGGACCAGTGGAACACCATGAATGACAGATTGGATGTTGATTCATTCCTTCATCAGGTGGACTACATTTATGCTTCCATGTCAATATAATTAAAGTGGAATGGAAATAGTAATTAAGGACATAAATACGATGGGAAAATAAATATTCACTCTATAAATCAAGTTGGAAGTAGCCTCACTCAGACTTGAATGTGCCCAAGAGTATTTTTAAAAACCAACAAGAAGTTCTGGTTTTCCATTGTAGCATCACTGATGACTACATCAAGGGTATATTTAGTGGTACACATTTGTTGTTTGGTACTTGCTTTTGTTGTAATTGTACATTTGAAATGGTTGCCAACATAGTTAATCATAGCTTGGCAATTCCCACTGCTGTGCATATTTTTATATGTACAACATGTGTACTCTATAACTCATATGTTTGAATTTCAATGTATGCTAATGACCTTAACCAACACAAGGAGCCTTAATTTGTTCAGTAGCAGAAGCCATAATGTTAAAGTGGGATTTTACAGTCATTTTGTCACTCCTCAGAAGCCATAATGTTAAAGTGGGATTTCTGTGTGTTTTCAATGTGACTGTGCTATAGCACGGTCATTAAATCCTCCTTACAAATTACAGTCATTTTGTCACTCCTTTTTTATAACCTTTATGGTGATGTTAGCACTCACTGAGGCATCAACTTGAATTATTATTGTTTATTTATGAGAGACAGAATGTTGTAGTCTGCTGTGATGGATGGAGACATGACAGAATGACAGGTCGTCCACATGCAATTGGAATGTAAAAGAGCAAAAACCAAGCAGCAGTGAAATAACAAGAAGGAAATGTATCTGTATTAGACTTCCATCAGCATCATATTTGGGGTACAGATGGTCAGTATTGACCAATGAAGATTGTTGGTTTTTTTGCTGAATTCATGTTTTCTTTTCTCAAAAACAGAACAGTTGTTCATTTTTTCACGTTAATGATGATAGAGTTGTTATCACAATATTTTTATCTGGAATTATCTTTTTTTAGTAAATACTATTTAGACATGATTAATGTTGCACCACACTTGTAATGATTTTTTGAGGGTTGAAAAGCAGAATATAAAAACCATAGATCTAAATTCTAAAGCTAATAATCTTTCAGCATCTTCTGAAATGAAGCTAAAGAAATTCCAGTTGTATATCATATTCTTTCACTTTTGACCATTACAGCACCCACAGCTTCATATTAAAATTGTACAGTTGTACAGTGATATGAAGGAAACCTAATGGGCTCAATTCCCACAACAAAAATACAAGTATTTTGTGACCTAACGACTAACGACAAGCAGTGTTGTCGTTAGTGCAATGACTTGTTGGTATTTGACAGGTTCACCCCTTCCCATGCAGGATTCATTTGTTATCATATAGCATGTGGTGTGTATGACATAACAAGCATAGCTCATCGGGACGTATGTCAGCTCCTGAACATAACACCCTGCCATTAAAAACCTCATCAGGCCTGATGACAGTGAGCGTCTCTAACTCTTTGACCTTTACATCTGTCCTTATGTTGGATATTTCTTCTTTTTCTTTGCATACTGTATCTCTGCAACATAAACGCTTGCTTATGTGCTAATCAATTCAGTGCCTCTGCAGTAGCTGACGGCATTTCCCCAGCCTGTATTTATCTTTTCACCGCGTTATCTGAATTAGCCACCGGGGGCAGAGCAGCCTGAAACTGGCAGCACTATATTAAGAACTATCCAGTGGGACCTGATCTTGTTAAGAAAGCTGACTCTTATTCTGCTGGGATTCACTGAGGAGAGAAAATGCTGCACTTTTGATGACATCTCCAATACCATGGCCTGAAGGAAGAAAAAAAAAACGGCTCAGCTTTCTGACTTTTTATTCCTGTGAAGGACGCATTGCTTTGACAACTCTGATGAAGGATAAAAGGAGTCTTTAAAAAGTGAGTTAGTAGATTGTTGAAAGAGAAGCCGGATCCATCAACATCTTATCAAGCAGGCTTTGAAATATTTTTTTCTTTTCATTCTGTCATTCGTCTCCATCCACCTGACTTGTTTTCCCCAGCCGTCACTCTGTTTGTTGATGTTTGTGTGTTTTTTCCCCCTTTCCTTCCCTCCTAATTACATCCTTTTACTCTTTTTTATTACTTTGCCTACATCCATCACATTTCTCTGTGCCTTTTCTGTCACACTCTCACTGTAGCAGAACATGATGGTTATACATAAGATATATATATAGGTATGTATATTTTCTTACTGTGTCACTGTTGTTGTCCGTTGTGAGACGTCCTTCACTAGTTTGCACAGAAACTCCATATATTTACATATATATGTATATATATATATATTTTTTTTTTCAATCACCTAAAACTAGCCCATATACTGTAGAGGACCCTCAGGAACCTGTGAGTAGAGTTGGAGGTCCGTAACCTACTTCCCATATCAGACGCCCTCGAGCCCTAATAGTCTGCCAGGTACCTCCATCCATTTTTCCCCCTAAGAACTATGGGTAGATAAGCAGATTTAAAACGTATCTGTTCACCTTATCAGCTCTTTTCCATATTCCTACAAATAGACCAGAAACCTGCCAGGGCCTGAGAGCAGTGAGTGGAAGCAGCAAACAGTGGCTGCAGGGAACGGCAGGGCCCATCATTCCACTCCTTAAAGGCAAATTTGACTTTGTGCACTGCCGGAGAATTATTCACCTCCAGCCTGCTGAATAATGCACCTCAGGTCAACAATATGCCGGGATGTGAACCCAGAAACACAGTTCTGACACAGTGATTCACTAAAATAGAACACATGCCGGGATGTGAACCCAGAAACACAGTGATTCACTAAAATAGAACACTGTGTCATTTCTAGTTGCAGACTGTACTCTACACTCAAATGTACTGAACAGTTCTATACAGACCAGTGTTTCTTGATTTATTTGAAAATGGCATGCTTTTTTGAAAAGTATGCAAAAACCTTTACCCCAAAAATGTTTAATTCAATTCAACTAATTTTTTACACTTAGTGAAGCTATGGAGGTAGAGTATTAATGATCTGATGGGTTTATCGTTCTGCATTGTTTTAGGTCCATAATTGTCAGGTCTGCATCCCACTGCAGATGTGTTTTTTTCCAATCATAATGCAACAGTACCTAAACCTGACAAAGGAATCCATTTCTTACACAAAGAAGTGCAGTTTGATAATTCTTCTTACATTTAAGTCAATGCAAGAGACAGACTGTATTATAGAAGGTACTGCAAGACCGTTTTCCTTTCAAATAAACTCATAACAAAACATGAAAAGTGTGTATTTGTCAAACTGTGTGTTGTCAGAAGGTCACATTTAGGCTGTTACACACATGTTTGACAGGCCTTTGTTTGGCCTGGAGTGAACTGATGATGATGAATGTCCTCAGCTGGGGTCACAACAGCAGGAGTGTGATGGTTCAGGGTCTGCACCGACCCCTGACCCCCCTCTCCATCACATAATATCACATAATAAATAAATGTCTTCCAACGTGTTTCGGTTGTTTGTAAAAATCATTTTGACATCAATGTTTTTTCCCTGCCCTCCAGGAAAGAGCCCGTTCCTGATGTTCACCAACCGCCACGAGATCCGGCGCATCGACCTGCTGAAGAGTGAATACACACAAGTGGTTCCTACGCTGAAAAACGCCGTGGCTCTGGATGTTGACGTTTCCACAAACAGGATGTTTTGGTGTGATTTATACCATCGTAAAATTGTGAGGTACACACTCACACACACACACACACACACGCTCCTTTTGGAAAGTGTATTTGATTTGTGTAGATCATAAAACCGTTTACTGTCTTTTTCTGGCCTCTTACATTTTTCAACTCAACTTTTTTCAACCCCTGTGTGCGTGTGTGCGCGCGCAGGTGTGTGTGTGTTTGAGTGGGAAGGTAAAGACGGATTGCAAGCACACTTGTCTGGTACTCAGTTTTTCAATCATGGTTTTAGAGCTTCAGAGGTTTAGGACCAGTTAAGAGGTTGCAGTCAGACATTTATTGAGGTGGCTCAGGGCAGTGTTTCTCAAATCGTTGGTCCTGACCCAAAATTGGGCCGTGCAGACAAATCTGGTGGATATATCCATTGATACTATAGTATACAAGATTTTAAAAAAAGAAATTCTCTGCAGAGCTCAATGGTTTAAATGATTAATTTGGTTGTTTTTTTTTTTCAATCATATTGTTTTTTAGACCACAAATAGCAGCTAAAGATCAACCAATAAAATGAATTCACTCTGGACAGTTCAGTCTCTACAGTTTAAAAGAAAATCATTGAAGCATTGGGTAAGGAGTGGGGAAGAGTTTTCTTTTTTTTTCTCCATCACTTACTTTCCATTGTAATTTGTTTTTTTCAAATTCAGTCTTAATTATTAAGTCATGATTGAGTCCTCCTTCTGCTCAGACGTTAGACTTGAAGAAATGCAGTGACTTTGTCGTCCCAGGCTGATTCACAGCGATCTGTCTGCTACGGGTCGATGACTGGTTAACTTCTCCTCATGACGGAGTCACTGCTACAAACAATAACGCCACCAATTAAAGATGCAATCTGCTCCATTGTGGTTTTCTCGTCTGTCTCTGTCTTTGTCTCACTGCAGCCTGGCTCCCAATCTGTCCTTCCTATAGCCATCACATTTATTTTAATTACTGGATGCAACATAAAACGAATTCATAGAAACAAAGTCAAACACAGGAGATGAAAAGATACATTAGAACCTGCTGTGACGTTACAGTTCTCAGTTGACCCCCAGCGTTGTCCGTCATCTGCCGTGCACTGTGTCCACTTCATTAAAATGTACCCTCCGTCACACGAACGGTTGTCGTGTCCTTGTTACAAACCACAGGACACAAACAGCCGTGGATTATCTATCACTGAACAACAACAGCGGCAGCAGCGGGCTGTTTCTAAAGCCATTTATGAAGACGCCTGGTGTGACAAACAGTAATTAACGGCACAATCTGCTTCCAAGTCTCGGTCTCATTCATCTTAACCTCATTGCTCACTCCAACTACCTTACATGACTCCTCTCTTGTTAGGCTGCTCCTCCCATCGCAATCTCTCTTCTTTATTTTCGCACACTTTAGTCTGCCACTGGGTCTTATTGGAAACCTAATGAGATTCTTTCTGTGTTGGTCAGACATCTGATCCACATCATATGAGAATGAACAGTAATAAAATCCAGAAGCTGCAGAAAAAGTTGACATGTGAAAAATAAGAAAAAAATTACAAATACAAGATTTTCTTTTTCTGGTTTCCTTTGCTGTCATATGAAGACAGATTCTTCCAGGAAAGGCTACTTTGTGAACAGGCTGAGGTTGTTACTGATGTGTCAGGTTTCGGTGGCCCTGACCCAGTATCACGAGAAGCTGTTATCCTCCGAGTTCACATGAACTTTAGACAAAAAAGAAAACACAGAGAGAACAGAGCAGGAACCAACACAGTACAATGTTTGTGATGGATGAGTGTTTCTGTCCAACTTTTTCTTCCTCCCTCTCTCTGGTTTTAATGTGGTTTTTCATCATTTCCACAACACTGACTAAGACGCTCTCTCCTCTGTTGTCCACCAGCGCTAACATCAACAAAGCCAGCGACGCATCCCAGCAGGTGACGCTCATCGACTCGCTCCACTCGCCCGAGGGCCTGGCAGTCGACTGGGTCCATAAGAACATCTACTGGACCGACTCTGGCAACAAGAGCATCTCGGTGGCCACGGGAGATGGAAGCAAGAGGAGAGTGCTGATATCCACTGAGCTGAGTGAGCCGCGAGCCATCGCAGTGGATCCGCACCAAGGGTGAGTGAGGGAAGTTTGGGAGGAGGAGGTTTTCTAACTTGGAGGTTTTCACTGGTTCCACAAAATAATTGTAGCTAACCTATAATATATGACCTATAACACACACGTGTTTGTGTATATATATCTATATATCTATGTATGTGTGTGTATGGATGCATTCATATGTATATATGTATACATTTTATTAATTAATTTTGAATTAAATGCTATTTTTCAGGAAACAATACAATTCAACAGAAATAGATTAGAGAAAGTTAAAGTTAAAATACACTTGTTGTCATTGACACACACTGTGGGGAAAAAGCACCTTGAGTTTAAAATACCAACTCACACCTGCCTTGGATCTGGAGTATTTTGCAGGGAAGTATTTTCCATTTGAAGAAGTACTGTATCTTATCCAATAGAATTAGAGCGTGTAATTCTCGCCATGATTCTGTCGTCCCAGGCTAATTCAGAGCGATTTGCATGCTACGGGTCGATGACTTGTTAACTTCTCACCATGATGAAGATGTCTGCTGTAAATAATAATACCACTAATTAAAGATGTAATCTACTCAGTGCTGCAGGCCTCATTTGTCATGTCTGCCAGGACACCATCCATGAAGAATGGACTGGTTCTTTGATCGCCACCTTATAAATAGTTGTTGTTGTTGCTGGTAGAGTGGCGCAATGACAGGTTCCCGCCTTACGGTGAAGGTTGTGGGTTTAATTCCACATGATTATCCAATCCTAGATGAGGATTGGAAGAGTGTGTGCTCTAAAAACTGAACCAAATCAACATTCAGACTACAGAGTTAACAATCTCTGTAGACAGTTTCAACTCATCCTGAAAATTCCAGACATAAGCTGTAAATATAAACAGCAGCAGATTAGTTGGTTATTTTTAAGATGTATATATTTCATTTGTCAACTGTACTCAAGCTATTTTTTTAACTTTTCCTCGCATGTCTCCGCAGGTTTATGTACTGGTCCGACTGGGGGGATCAGGCCAAGATTGAAAAGGCTGGAATGAACGGAGTGGATCGACAAGTTCTGGTGTCTGAACATATCGAGTGGCCAAATGGAATCACTCTGGGTGAGGAAAACTGTGCAGCTACGCAGTGAGAAGAACACTTTTAGACTTCAGTTATTTTTTTAAAGAATAAAAAAAAAACAGAGACAGCAAAAAGTAGAAAAAATTTAACAAAAAAAAAGTTGAGAGAACAATCAAAGCTTATTGCAAACTCTGTGTGGCTTCTGCTGCTGTGGCTCAGTTTGTGTCTGGCTCTCATCAATCAAGCCAGTGAACACAGGCCTCCAGATTAATAAACCAGACGCTATGTGCCGTCTACACCTCCCATCATACCGTTCGACTCCCTCTGTGGTCCAGTCAATTTCTCTGAGCTGCTTTGGCCTGCGGAGAAAAGGAGTCACACAGTTTCCACACTTGGTGGAATTGAGGTGTCGCCGCATCTGTATGAAAACAAATTACGTTCTGAGTGAAGAGAACGAGAAAGTCGCCAAGTGCTGCTCCTTAATGCTGTGGCAGAAGAGGTGAATTCTTTTTTCCCTGGACATTGATTTTGCAGCCGGCAGATCATTTACTGAGTCTGGAAAAGGCCAAGTGGTGAATGAAAATTGCTCCGTAGTTTTTCTTTTGTATTCAGTTAAAATTGCTGCTTTTACATGTTACTGCTCAGAGTCGGCCCGAGCAGCACAGAGCATGTGGTCGAATTCACATTTTTTATTTTGAGTCAGCTTTGTTATGTTAATGAGGTTTAAATGACTGCTGAATCTTGTTCACTTAAACCCATGGCTGGATTTGTTAATGAGGTTTAAATGACTGCTGAAGCTTGTTCACTTAAACCCATGTTCACTTAAACCCATTCACATTTTCACTCTAAAAAAATGTGCAGTTTGTCTGTTTAATACGTCCATCCATTCATTTATTCTCTACTGCTTCATCCTTTTGAGGGCCGCAGGGCTGTTGAAGCCAATCTCAGTAGTCAGTGGGTGAGGCCCACCTGGACATTTGCCCAGTTCATCACATATCAACACAGACACGCCACAATTCACACAACATTCACACCTATGGTCAATTTAGACCATCTGATAAACCGTCTGATTCCTAATCCTGCAGGTTTTTGGACTGTGGTAAGAAACCAAAGTTGTCCAAACCCTTAATCCCCAAACACTTAATCCCCAAACATTGATCCCCAAAACTATTTTTAGAATTGTAATTTTTGGAATTTGAACAGGGTGAAACTTAAAAGTTTCAAGTTATTGTACTTTTTCAGACATTTTCCCTGAACATGGTTAAAATGCAGTGTTGTACTCCCTTTTGTGTCCTTCGCTGTCAGACATAATAAAATCCAAATTCTCTCGCTCTAACCTAGTGTTTGTGGCCCACAGCAAAGGCAGCAGAGTCCTAATTTGACGCCCGTAGACGATTTACCCTGTTTAAAAAAAAAGAAAAGAAAAAGAAAAGCAGCAAGAGTAATCATTTGCTGAAGGGCACATATAATTTTTTTTTTCCCAGCTAAGATTTCAACCAGCAGTATTACAATCACATGTGTGTTTTCTCAGCCCAGAGTCTGGGCTGTCAGGTCAGAGAAGATTGATGGTGGAGCCACTGGGCCATTTCATGCATATGCCTCTCACCCCCAGCCTTTTCTACTGGAATGACCTCTCTCCCCCTTTTTTTTTACTCTCTCAATCATTCTTTTTCTTTTGGTTTTGACCCCGCCCCCCTTCGACTATCTTTGCAGATCTGTCCAATCGGCGCCTGTACTGGGTGGACTCCAAGCTGCACCTGCTGTCCAGTGTGGACCTGAGTGGAGACAACCGCAAAGTGCTGCTGTCATCCCATCACCACTTGGGACATCCATTTGCCCTCACTGTCTTTGAGGTACTGCAGTAATATTGTTGACTAATATTTTAGTCCTAATACAGTGGTCACGAGTGTTTAATATTCACACTTCACACTATATATATATATATACAGAAAGAACCGTGGATGGACACTTGCACAGCAGTAATCTTCCTGTCACCTGTCAAACTTGTTAACATACTGTACGTGACAAGTATCAGTATAACAGTTATAATTATACCATCTCATTACTTCAACTGCAACAGGATTTATATTAAATGAGAGAAAAAGGATTTTTCTCTCACTGTTTTTTTTCTCTTTTTAAAAATAAAAATCTTTAATGGAAAGTTCAACAGTCTAATAAGTTTAATTTTATTCAGTTTAATGATTCTGGTTCATGGGGTCAAAATTAAATCTGAATATGAACTGGGAGAACCAGGGTCTTTGAACTTTGTCATCGATTAGTGTTGGTGATTTTTTGCAGTTACAGAAGGGTGAGTTTTCTGTCTGGAGTGCTGCTGGTAAAATAAAACCCACTGTTCTTGAAGAGTAAAAAATAACCGTGAACAAGAAGCGGTAGACACGGTGTGTGTTTTCGGAAAATTATTATTTCAAAGTTATTGAGTGTGGAGTCGCTGGTGAGTCTGACAATCAATGAAACTAATCTGTGTGTAGTTACTGAGGCAGTCTGTTAGAGTCTGTCAAGTATGGATGCTGTGGAAGGAGAAGGAGAGGCAGAGGAGGGAGGTGAAGTGTGATCAGCTCCACAGGCTGTGGTCACGAGGAGCTGGAGGAAACGGGACATCTATCATCTCCAGCAGTGTGTGTGTGTGTGTGTGTAGGAGATGAATAAAACCAGTGTTTCAGGCAGCAGTGAAAGTTCATCCCTGGAGATTAATGACCCTCCGCTCCTCTGCTCTTTGTTCTGTTCAGGTTGTGGTGCAGAAGAAATTAAAAACCAGTTAGTGTTGCAGCAGGTAGTGCTGGTCCTGGGGTGGACTCTGCAGACCACAGCAGATAAAGTTTGTTTCCTCTGAGTTTCTGGAGTCAAATCAACTAGAACACAGAATGTTTTTGTGCAACATCTGTGGAATAAAGCGTCATATCAATATATATGGTATTTAAGTGATTTAAATTGGAATTCTGACTGCTTTTGTATTCATGTGTACCTGTTTTTTAACCTTCCTTTGGGTCAAATCTGACCAATTCACAACTTACACTCACAAATATTGTTTTTTTACGTCCGATTGCCTCAAGACCTCCACTCGTTGCCCATCCTTGGGTACGTGCAGACTTCACCTTGACTATACTATAAAGAGCACTGACCAACTCAGAGTCTTTTGAAGCTTTGAAGGTGACAGACAACAAAGACGAGAGAACAAAGAATGGAAGTGAGGAGTCTATCAGAGAGTCTGAAAGAGACGCCAGCATGAAAGAATTTTAGAAAATGATGACTGATATTTGAGACTGTTTTATCAGCATAGATGATATTTTTCTTTCGTTGTTGCGGCCCTGCTCTTGTCAGACCACTGAAGGTTGTGTTGAAGGGGGAGAGAAAGGTTATGTCTACTGATGACCAGCAGCAAAGGAAAACCAGGGGTTACTGACTGAAAGACAGGCTCAAAGATACCGTCACACATACACACACTCTTTACACAAATGTGTGTTTCCACCCCTGAAGATCCTTGACTTTTGCAGCAGACATTAAAACTGTGAACACAGTCTCTGCTGGATGATTATTTCTCTTTCGAAGATGAGACACCAGGAACTGTCTGACACGTCTTCCAGTCTTAGCTCTTTTTTTTTTAAACCCGTCTGTGATTTTCGGACGTTTTTCATAATTATCAGTGTTCTCCTGGATGAAGTGCTCAGTGGTTGCCTTAGAAACCGTGAACCGTTTTGTGTACTCAAGAACCCCCTGGAGAGAAATGAGAAATAAGGCAGAAATTAGGAGGTTTGAAAAAGAGTAAACGAAAAACACAAAAACTTAAAAGTAATTCTGCGTCAGTGTCAAAGATGTTTTCCACTCGTTTTGTTCCTTCTACAGACCCTCTCTGAGTCTGTGTCTGCCCTGTTGCCAAAATTCTTGACTCCTGTTTTTTTCCTGTTATAAAGGGGTTTTATGTGCTCTTATTTTGAAGTAAAAAAATACAGTACAAAACTTGAGTACTTTTTCTGAACAAGTTCTAATTTATGGCATTGTGATACAAAAACATCGTACATGGAACTGACAACATTTACATTTGAATATAAGACTTTATACTATATATAGACTGCATAATTGTATTGATGCTTTAATGTACTTTTTTCCTTGTCTCCACACAGGATCACATTTATTGGACGGACCTGGAGGACGAAGCCATTTACAGCGTCAACCGACTGACAGGAAATGATGTCGTGAAAGTGGCCGAGCACCTGAACAACCCGCTGGACGTGGTGGTGTTCCATGAACTGAGGCAGCCGACAGGTACAGTCACATTTATATATAAACAATGTATATGATACAATGTGATATACTCAAAATAAATTAACTCGACACAAACAATGTTAAATCCTAATGTCCAGATTTAAAGTTGAAATTGTGAGATTAAGTCAAAAAAGGAAACACTCAGAGATGTCAAATTAGAAGAATATCAGATGTATAGTAGGAGGTGTGTTTCCTGTCTCTGTCAGTTTGGGGCGCTGTGATCTGAAGGAATAATGCAGACTGACATACTGTATGTCTGACAAAGAACTCCTCATCTCCTCTGTGAGGCTCCCTCTTTATTAGGGGCATTTTCTCCCCCAATTTTTTCCCGACTATTCCGACTTTTCTTTGACCACATATTTCCTTCTCATCTGTCCTTTCACTTTGATGTTGGCTCTGACGGCTGCTAATGTTCTCTCTATGTTCTCCTAAAGACATCATCAGAGCAGGACTTGTTATTCCCAGTTCACTGACTGAACATTTTTATTCACATGGAAAGATATTAAAAAATGTGATTTTGATCCAAACATCCCGGTTTAACTGAGAACATGTTGGTGTTGATTTTGTATATTTTTGTTCCACAACCTTCAACACACAATAGTTGTTTTATAAATTAATTTCAGACCCACCTGTCCATCATCAATGATATTCCTTCTCTGTTTCTCCTCAGGCCTGGACACCTGTAACATGGGGAGTCTGCCCAACGGTGGCTGTGAGTACCTGTGTCTGAAAGCCCCTCAGATCACAGACCACTCCCCCAAATACACCTGTGCCTGTCCTGATGGTATGGAGCTGGGACCAGACATGAGGCGCTGTGCTGTAGGTGGGTTGGTTATAAATCACTCAGAGAAGGGGACGGTGGGGGGGGGCAGGTAATTGGTGGAATTGGCTAAGAAACGACACATGAGGTCTTCATCAGTGTAATGGCGGTGAAATGATACATGAGAATATTAAGATGTGGTGGAGAAGCTCTCTCTGTGTTCTGCTGAAACGAGTCCACCTCAACATTATTTATGGGCGTCTAATAATAAATGTTCCAGGTCGAGGTGTGGAGCGTGTTTGAAGGTTTTCTAAACCGGAACAAAGAGGACGGCTGAGGACTATTTTTATACTAATGCAGACACTGCATTAAATATTTTTAACAATAATGATCTAAACATCACATTATAATGTTAGACAAAAATGTGATTTCAGTTCAGCAAATATTGTGTGTGAAAATTATTGTCAGCCGTTTTTGACAAACTTTTTTAAAATTATTATTTTAACTTTTTTCATGTGCAGTTCGACAAAGAACAACCACAACAGCTGCTCCAACCACGATAACCACCACAGCTCCAACAACAACAACAAGCACCACAACAACCACCACTACACCTGCTGCTACCACTACCACCACCACAACAACCACAACTGCTGCTACTACCACCACTACCATTACAACTGCTCCAAGTACTACGAGCACCTCCACTCCTCCTACACTTCCTACAACCAGAGCAGTAAAGACAACAGCGACAGCTCAGGGTCCCAGAAGCACATCCACAGAGCGGAGCAGAACGTCCACTGCCACAAGTACACAGACGACCAGTTTCAGCAGCACAAGTCAGACGTCCACGTCCACGCGCACACCTCTGATCGACTCGGCGGCTCCTAACAGCATCCACAGACAGAGCAACGGAAATCTCTCTCACAGAGGTAAGAAACACACACCAGGGTGGGCGACTGGACAAAGTAGATCGATGCAGATGTAACTTCACATTAACGCAGCTTGAAAAGCTAAAAAAAAAAGCAATATTTCCATTTTTCTTCCTAAGTCTTGCTATAATGGTTGATAAAAAAAAAAGCAATATTTCCTAAGTCTTGCTATAATTGCTGGTTGAAAACCACATTTATGGAAATCAGACTAAGAAAGTCATCTTGGTCTGATTTGGGTGAAAAAAAATCAAATTTTTGCATAAAAGCTTAGATCTGTAGTCTTGGGTAGTTTGTAAGTCAGATGAAAAAAAAAAACTGCAACAGTTTTCTTCCACGTTGTCACAGTTTAGTCGGGGAAAAACTTTCTGCAAAAGTGGTGTGAATTGACATTGTTTGCTTTGTTCATTGTTTGGGCTTCAAATAGCCACAATCGTTAGATTCAACGATATATCCGTAACACAAAGGATAAAATAATACATTGTTAACACAGGCAGGTGAACAGAAAGTGAGCAGAGCTTTAACACAAATGATCTCTTCATTTTAAGTAAACAAAAATTCACTTGATGCCTAAGTTACTACCAACAAAAAGATACTCAGTGCAAGGAGCATCTTCATGTTTGTTTGGGTTTTTTTTGTATCTTGTATGAACAAATCTCACAGTAAGTCTTAGTCCGGTCCTGTAAAAATAGAAGAATACACAACGCTGGCTGACCGTGTAAAACTGGTTGTGGTGAGAAGCTGTTATGAAGTATTTGAATGTAGTATCAGGGCCGATACCAATACTCGTGTTGTTATCCGTGCATCCCTACTTTTTACTGGCTGTCGTTTATCTTAGGTTTCCTTCTTCACACACATCTTCACACTCCTCACTGTATCTCTCGTCTACTCACCCTTCGTCCCTTGTGAGCAGAGTGTAACAGAGCTGTCATGGTGAACAATCCACAGTCCCCTCCGTTCTTGTTCTGACCCACTCATCACTCAGCCTAACATTCTGTCTCTCTGCCTCGCTCTTCCATTCTCACACCCTGGCAGTAGATTCTGTTTGCTCACCAGTCGAGCTTTACTGGTGCAGAAGACAAAACAAAACACTTTTTTTTAGAATGTGTTCCTCAGATAACCCTTAACAACAGGATAGAACTGCACAAACACCGAGTTTACAGTGTCGACTTAAACTGCATTTGGAAGCAAAAAGCTATCCGCCGCTCCGCTGCACGCCACATGCTGTGTTGTCATTTTCAGCTCTTTTGATTCCTGCGACACTGTGACAAACAGACGTTAACGGGAAATTCAAAGATGTTACAGCTGAAAAGATGGCACGATAGATAACAGAACAGTTGGCCGGCTTCTGAGAAGGATTGTGAGCGAGTTGAACTGTGTTTGAACTGGGGTTTTTACACGACTGCGTTTACATCTGGGACATTTTTCATTACGGCAGAGAACTGGGCAAGTGGGGTTTTAACAATGAAGAGGTCTACAGAGGAAGAGGAGCGGGGAAGGATAATGGAAGTTTTTGATGAGTACGAGAGATGGGGGCAGGGAGCAGGAGTGGACGGGAAGGAAATGAGGAGACTCGGGGTGTTAGACTGAGAAATGTTAAATAAAAGAAAACACACCTGAGAGGAAGAGGCTTGGACATGGCAGGGAGAAAAAGGAACATGACAGGAAAAACTTCAAATGACACGTGAGATGTTCAGAGTGAAAGCTGCACAACGCGAGTAAAGAAAAAGTCGTGAGGGAAAGTCATTCTCAGCCAACAGAAAATTAAACTGCTCCGTTCTCTGACATCATCGGCCTCTTCGCCTCAACACAACTGCTTCAGGTGAGAGATGCAGCGGAGACGGCTGAGAAAATGAGGCATGAACAACCGTGTCTCCAAAGCCTTGGGTCGTGTGTTGGAAAATCTCGCTTGGTGAACGCTGTCGAGTTTGTCGGCATCTGCAGTTTTGTGTGTGATGTCTCACTTGGCATTCTCTCAGTGAATGGGAGGCAAAAAATTGAAATAAGTGGAAAACAGCTGGTGCTGATGTCAGTAATATCCATCAGTCATTAAGCAGCACTGGACAAGAAAATGCTGTCTTGCTTTTAAAGGATTATTTGGAGTAATTCCTCCAGAGGGACTGGCAGTGTACAGAAAGTGATGGTAGACAAAATCCACCCTGGTCAGCTGTATCTAAACTTAATGAGGCTCTTCACACTCACTCCTGGGCTGTAGTCTTCTGCTGCTGCTGCTGCTTGCACAGATACTTTTGATATTTTACAATTATATAAAGGCATCCTTACAAGGTTTTGTTTTTTTTTTTGTGGGGGAGTACCTTTAAATTTAATGTAAAAACCATGACGTCAATATAACCATTTAATCAAAATGTGTTTTGTTAATTAGGGCTATATGAATGAAATTGACTTGACCCTGACCCTGACCTCTCCTCACTTCATCTCATCTCACCTGAACCATCTTGACTTGACTTGACTCGACTCAACCTGACTTCAAGGTGCTTGACTTTACAAAAGCTATCCTGATTGAATATTCTGATTTGTAGATGTGGTCATACAGTAGAGTGGAGAATGGGTTGTGCTTCTGCCATACAGCAAGAAGGTTGCTGGTTTGATATTCTTTTGCACCTTTTCCTCATGTGTGTCTGGGTTTTGTGAAGGTACTGTGATTTTATGTGTTCTGTATAACTGTATTTGAGACAAACGAGACCACGGTGTAAACAAAGCCTTGAGATCTTCTACTCTGTTCTTAGTCTCACGATTTACTTCTCCTCCTGTCCATCTCAGCTGCAGGCGATCACTACCTTATAGGTAACAACATCACAGTAGCCGTTCTGGGAATAGTCATTCCTATCGGTGAGTAAACTCTTGGCTCCCTGGTCACAGTCGATGCTTTCTGCCTGCCTGCTTCCCCCTCCCTGCTTCTCCGTCCCTGCCTGTGGCTAAAACCCTGCATGTTGTGATTAGTCCTGCTGTTTAATGTGACCGAGCGTAGCTGTTTGTACCTGGACGTGCGCACCTGTACGGTTGTGTAAGGTTGTCGTCTGTCGTACGTGAATCTGTCTGTGAATATTTGTCTAGTATCATCAATATAACAGCAACATCTGCTTGACAGTAGCCATTGAAGTCGTGTGTGTTTGTTGTTTCTAACACATATACCCAGCTCTGACACCTGTGAGCTGACTGGCGCCCCCTGTCTGTTGAGCAGTATTCTCACACAGTGTCATTGTTCTTAAAAATGTAGAAATACACATCCACACTGGGAACACAATTTAACTCATGGCCAGAATGAAATACAGGAAAGACTCTCTCTCTCTTTCTCTCTTTCTCTCTCTCTCTCTCTCTCTCTCTCTCTTAACCCCCACCCAATCTCCCACACACACACCCCCACCTTCTCATCCAGCATTTCTGGCAGCTTAAAAATGTTAAATATAATGGAGGTTCTCCAGATCCACATTTCTGCTCCTTTCGTTCCCCACTCAGTTCCACAGCCCACCCACTGATCTGCAGAGGGGAGGAAGTGGCCAACAATGATTAAAGGCTTTCACTGGTTAATTTTTCCCCCATTTTCTGGAGTTGAAAAAATTGATGATTAATGATTCAGATGAATGAGAACCGTTACAGGAGTTTGGAGTACTCACTGGAGCTAATAACAGAACAGTAGTATGTGTATAGATGTACATATACTGAGTAAACACACACTCCTATAATACACACGTGCACACTCTCGTCCTCTTTGATGTGCAGTAGATCTCATTTGGCTGCTGGTCATTCACACTCTTAGATAAAGCACACACACACACACACACACATACACACACTCTCACAGGTCCTAAAGGGCAGCTTGGCTCTCCTGCTGATATGCTAATGAGAGAAGACAGACTGAGCTTATCTCACCCCCACTTCACCCCTTTTTCCATATTCTCCCTTCTCTCTCTATTTCCCTATGTCCTCTATCCAAAAACTCCAGGGTCATGCCGCCTGGAAAGATTTTTTTTAATCAGAAAAAAACGTTCAATAATTGTTTTTAATAATTGTTATTTGTGCGTCGCTGCATGCAGACCTTAGTTTTAGTTTTGTTTGTGTGATTTTTGGTTATTCTGAAACATTGATGATTAAAAGGTGCTGGTTCTGTGAGTGTACTGGAGGCTCATTGTTTCACTCCTTTTGGACATTTTGTCTTTAATAAACAGGAAATAGAAAGACCAGATTGGTTAATTATCATGAAAAAATGTTCAATTATTAGATAGCTAATATAAACCTGGGAGGTAAACACTGAAACAATCATCAAAAACTCACACTTTGTAAAACATTTGTGTTCATTTACAATAACCATCTTGAGTCATTTTATTTTTAGATTTAAATTTGTAATTACTATTTGTTATTAACAAATAGTCTCTAGAAATGTCCTTCATTGCCGTGTGTGCGTCCAGGAATTTACGTAAACATGCGTGTTTACATAACAGGCCAAAGGTCAACAGAGACAAAAATGTTTTTTTCTTAACTTAAAGCCATTTGTTGGGAGTGAACAATAAGCAGTCATAAATACTGTATATAATTTTAGTTGTTGTTTTTGATCTCTGTCTTTTTGTGGCCAGTGTGTGGGAGTTTTTTTCCCTCTAAAACCGTACAGTTTGATATTTAAACGGACATGATTTTATCAGAACCTAATGAGCCTTCAGTACATGGTGGGTGGAGGTGTGGGGGTGTGTGTCGTGTGTGTGTGTGTGTGTGTGTGAGAGTGCTTAAAGCGCCGCTCTGTGTCCCCTGGGCTGTGTTAACGCTCCCGCCGTGTGTTGTTGTTGTGTGTGTGTTAAACACATGCAGTCCCTATCCTTGCCACAGTGGTCATCGGATTGCTGTGCACCGGCGGCTACCTGGTGTGGCGCAACTGGCGGCGCAAGAACACCAAGAGCATGAACTTCGACAACCCAGTTTACCGCAAAACCACGGAGGACGACGACGACGAGATCCACATCGGCCGACACAGCGACTCCGTCGGCCATATCTACCCGGCAGTGAGTGGCAGCCACAGTCAGCCATTCATAGCGCTACCTCTAGGGGGCGGTGTCACAGACAGCAACTCTCACTGGTACTCGGGGGCGCCGATGCTGTCCAGTGGCAAATGAGAGGATCTGCTGCAGAAAGGAAGGAAGTTGAGGAGGAATCTTTGGGTTTGGAAAAGTGTGTTTGGAGTTAGACGTAGGTCTGGAGTTGACAGAAGAACAAGTTCACACACACACACACAGGTCCACGTGTTCGTTCATGCAAGCCCTTCACCTTCGCACCATGTTCACCTCATTTACCTCCTACATCAATCAGTCAAACAGTCATCTGTTCCCCTAAAGCTATATTTAGAGTTTTGTAATTTATATGCGTGGAGAAGTGTTTGTCTTACATTTGGAGACAGATATTAAATGCAGTTCACCCAACATCATACACACATGCATCGTCTCACGCACACAGGTGTCTTTTTTTTTTTATATCATGTTTACTAAATAAATCACACTACGAGTGCGGAGAGAATCCCAGGAGTTACCTGAAAGTGCTTTGTTGGTTGTAATAACCTGATGATCTAAAATGAGGGTAGAGTCAGTGACGAAAACACATTTCCACCATTCAAATTATGATTAATTAATATTCTAATTTTAAATAATTAAAATTAATTAATTAATGGATCTCGAATATAAATAAAAAATAATATTCTAATATTAATATAATAATACCAATATGCTTAATAATAAATATATTGATGATATTAATTAGTATATATTATTAATAATTAATAATTGCACACCTGGTCTTCGGTTAAAGACAACAGTGACATTATGTTGTTTCCTGCTAACAGGTAAACGAAAGTCTAGGTTGACTTTGAAATTGCTTTAAACTGGTGGATTTGATGCATCGGTGATGATTTGGTTATTATTATTTAATGACCAGTTCACTAGTTAATTTTGGTCCACCATACCAATATTACCTTGCGTGGAGCCACAGGTTTAGGAATCCTTATATTCATTTATGTCTCTTCGTCCCATTACCATGTAATATAGAGTTTAAAGTTCATCACCAGATGACAGGCTTTAGAACCATTAACATAAGAGTTACTAACGGAGGTGAAATGTTTAGTGACTGTAGACTAATTAAGCTGTTAATTTCCAAACCAGCAAAGCACTACCAGTAACATGTCTTTGCCCAAGTTTTTGATGGTTTTGTCCTTGCCTTTAATGCAGTTAATGACAGAGCTGCACAGTTACAATATGGGAGCACAGATCAGAAATTAGGAATTTATTTTTATTTTTATTTTTTTTAGTGTACAGGCAGACAGTGAAATTGATTTCTTACTCTTTTTTTTTGCTAATCAATAACAGTAATTCACACTGCTCCACCTGCCTGTGTGGACAGTTCCTACAGCATTGTCTGCCCAAATGCAATTCCATGTAAAGGACAAGCATCTCACACATTGATGATGTATCGGGGAAGGAATTGTTGCTACAGGAATCAGAGGAAGAAGGGATGGGTTGGCATGGTAACATGGTTTTTTTTGTTGTTCCAAAGAGAAAGATGGCCGGGGATTGTGAGTATCCCTGGCATCATGACAGAGACAAACACACACACAGACACACACCAAAGAGGGAGGTTCGTGACCGACTCGTCTGAGATTTAAGGTTTAAGTGCCAATCGCCCTCGGTGGGGCCTGAAGACAGAATCGTACCCACGGCAGTATCTATATTTAATGATTTTCTTGTTGTCTTGTCTTTTTTTTTCCCGTTCTCTTCTTTTCTTTCATTTCCCTTTGTGGCGCTGTGTAATCGTATACAGTCTTTACAGTCAGATTGGCATCTTCTTGGCCAGACATTCACTACTCTGCATCCCATGTGTGGGAAAAGAAGAGAGGGTAGAGTAAAATAAAGAATGCGCAGAGGACCAAAAGAAGGAAATTACATTCCCTTTCGTTTTTCTCGTCTTTTTTTCTCTCCTATTTTCCTTTCTCTTTCTCCCTCCCTTTTTTGCAAACATGCCCTGGTAACTGTATTTTATCTGCTGTTTGCAGCGCGTGGCTCTCAGTCTGGAAGATGATGGCTATCCCTGAAGGGGAGGGACGCCGCCTGCCTCCCCCCTCGTACCCCTCCCCTTACACCACAGCACTGAGGCCAGTATGACAGAGGAGAAAGAGAAGGAGTCCTCTTTTTTTTTAAACTCCCCGTTCTTTAGGAGTAGAAATATAAACCTCATCCTCCTCTCCTTCCCTACTTCCTCTGCTGGAGTAACATCACTACCACTACTAGCAGCTACACTCACCTCCTCTTTAGTTCTAGTCATTAGTAGCCTCTGCTTCCTCCTCCTCTTTCTGCCTCTCTCTCTGCCGTGGTGTTCTAAAAATGCTGCTGAAAGACTTTTGTCCAAACTAACCGTCTTTGTAAATAGACGTCGGCCCGGTCTCCTCGCAGCGACACTGGGCCGTATTTCTCTCTTTATTTATTTGTGCGTCTACGCTGCTGTGAATATGTACTCAGTGTCTGTCAGCACACACTGGAAACAGGTTTGTTTAACTCTGGAAGGACACACACACAGGAAGGCAAGGACGCTGTCCTCCAGCAGGTTTCTTTATATCTTAAGTTGACAATACAGATTTTATTTTTCCCCCAAAAGGTAGAATGTCATCCTTTATCAGTCGAAGTCTTTCAGGATGTTTCCTTGTCAACGTTGGCGCCGTAGGGAGAGGATAAATTTAGCCAAGGTGAGAGGAGACGTAAACATGTTTATGTTGTCACTCTGACTGAAGACTGGGATGAAACAAAAGACAGGAGGCAAACATTTTGTAGATTTCTGTCTTTGGAAGGTTTTTCCTTTAGGTAGGAGAGTCAGAAACTTACCATAGACCCTGGAGGAAAAATGGCCGTGACTTTCTCTCTTGTTGACCATTGTTGGGATTGAGGTTTCAGCAAAAAAAACAAAAAAACAATGTTTGCTGAAGTGTAAATGTCCAAATAAGTAAAAAATCAATGTAAATTCTCCATCAGTTAAAAATGTCTGTCAGAAAGTGTTAGGGTGATTATCAACCACTCAGCACGTGACTGGCAGAGAGCTCGTCCAATAAGAAACACCACTCAGCACGTGACTGGCAGAGAGCCCGTCCAATAAGAAACAGATCATTTGGACACGGTGGGGTCAACTACAGTCACCGATGTCAGTGATGTTTTCAATGTCATGACAACCTATTGTCCTATTGGACCACGTGGCAAAATGAAATTATATTCTATAGAAGAAGACCAGGAAGTGAGACTACGGAATTTACTTAAAAAAAAAAATACAGATCTTATTCAATTTACATAGAAACTAGAACAGCTTTGACAGATTGTAACATTAGATTTCTGTCTGGTGTTGAATTGTGTTCTGTTTTTCTCAATCAGAGCAGGAATTAGTGTTCTAAACAAATATAAATGGAAATGTTCAAAGTCTCAAAGAAACACCTCTTCCTGAATGGATTGGCCTTAAAAAAGCCAATGAAAATTTAGTTTGTATTTTGTCTTGAAATCGTAAATAGAGATTTCAAATGACTGGTAAACTGATATCATTTCTGCTTCTGTTTCGGTGGAGTGGAGTGAGAGCGTGACGACTGCTGCCTTTCTCGTCACTTTTGTTAACAGTAAAGCTGTGTTTCCTGGATTACTCTGTGTGTGTGTGTGGGGGGGGGAGGGGGTGTCCTCCATTTAGTGGCAATCATTTTCTGCTGTCAGTGAGTGTTGGTTGTGATTGTGAGCAGTGTTTTGTATGAACAGACGAGTAATTCTCCGAGGCTGACTGAGCCCGGCCCAGATTTGATGTGAAGGCTGGATAGAGAGGAAATGTGTTAACCAGCATAAAGAGCTGATCTTCCACTGGCTCATCACACACGCTTCCAGCCCATTGAACCAGATGGAATATGTGCCTAGTGAATACGGCAATAATTGTCCATAATGTGTTTCGGTAGTGAATTACCAGGAGCTGTTAAAGCAGAGGAACATGATAGCTGTTACATGCCGTTATGGCAAATTGACATAGCTCCCATTCTGGGTGTCATGTACTTCCAGCAGAGGGCGTTCTGATTGTGTCAAACACATGTCAAATGGATTTAATGTGAGTTTCATTGTCCTGACGGTACAACCATTTGTTTTCTTTCTTTTTTCTTTTTTTTTTTTACTAAAAACAAAAGTTACAAATCCTTATTGTTCTGTGTGTGCAGTCAGGTGGCTTGATGCTGCTGTGATCTCTGGGATCTCTGTACACATCTTTTAACAGACATGAAGGCAAAGTACATTTATCTTGGTTTTTCTTCTTCTTTCACAATATTTAATAATGGTTTTGTTTCATTTAAGGTAAGATAGAAATTGAGTGTATTTGGTCTAAAAAAGGAGTAGTACCAACTCTGACCACAGGGGGGAGATTTGAGTGTGAAAACTGTCAATCAATTTGCCAAAATTTGGTAAATTTAAATACAAGATAAACTAAAATGTGTTGTTTTGTAACATGTAGAAACTTTACAATTGGGATCGCCAAAGTTGGGTAAAAAAAAACAACAACCAATCAGTGAATCGGCTTCACGACTCACTGACTTTTTTTAGACATTCATTCATGGATGATAAATATTGAGTCATTTATGTTTGTTGGACCATGTTTTGCCGCCGTGTTTCCATCTTTGGCGCCTCACACTTTCTTCAGAGGGATGTTTCCTATCACAGTTTATGATGCACAGTGGGAGATGCTCAGTATGTGGTCAATGACATGTGAAAGTAAATGCTCTCTTGTTCCTCCCCCTCCTCTGGGGGTTCGACATGAAGCTGTTTCCTCAGTCTTAACATTGAACTAATGGTAGAACACATTACGTGTGGGGCAGATTGGAGCTCCCCTCAGTGTGATCCACAGCTGCTTTCCAGGACTCCTGCTGTGTGTGTTTTTAAGGCACTTTATAGAACAGAGGGAACTGACTTTAACCTGATCCTAAGGACAGGTGAAGAAATGGTGCTACCTTTAAAAACATTTCCATGAAGGATACATTTGGGAATTTCAAATTCAATTAATTACCAGCCCGCTCCTGAGTTGTGGCCTGGTCTGAGTCCGCAGCAGAATTTTCCACTTTCCCTCGTGGTCATGTTTGATTCAGCTGTAATAGACTTTTCCAGACTGAGACTTTTGGAGCCGGGAGTTTAAATTGCTTATTTATTGAAGTGAGAGAACATGGCAGCATCCAAAAGTTATTGCTACACTGTGGAGACTGATTGGATGATCCACTCGAAGAGCACTGAAGGACCCTGGGAAAAAATCAGGAGAGATGCTTTTGTCACTGGTGTTGAACTTTAGTGCAGGCTGTAATTGTTGTGGTAACGACGTGTTGTGAATATTCTAGGACTACTACAGCCTTTATTAATAATAGTAGTGTGTCTGTGTGGGTTTTTTTTTACTGGTTTAGTTTTTGTTAGTTAGTTAGTTATTGTTAGTTAGCTCTTGGTGTTGTTTTGGTAAATAACACTGGATTTATAAATCCAACATGACTTGTTTGGTGATGATTACTACCTATTTAAAGTTTTTGAACTACGTTGTAGCCCTAATAAATCCATCTTGTTCTGGTTCCATTTGGTGAGAACAGCTGACTCATACGCTAGGCTAAACCAGGCTAATTTTGCCTTTTTTGTTTCTGTGATTTTATTGGCATTTTATCAGCAATCTTATTTTATGATTTTATTACTGCCACCTACTGGTTATATCGATCATCCTGAAATTACTTGACCACTTGCAAACAAGGAAAATCATGTTATAAAAAATTAAACACCCAACCATTTATCCCTAGAAAAACATAACCTTAAAGCTAGTTTGTCAAAGTCAGCTTTGTACGTGGTTGGATTAGGTGCGTGTCACATGTGCTGATTGAGTGTGTGAATAAATGGATGAATGGCTAAATCTAAGTGTAAATCGCTTGTAACCAAGGCTAGGAAATTGTCGGTGGCTAAATCTAAGTGTAAATCGCTTGTCACCAAGACTAGGATTTTTAGGCTAGCCTTGACTAGGTTGGCTGGATGTATGTACAGTAGACCACAACTATTTAACACTTAGTTTTGTTTTAAAGGGCTACTTACTGTACATTAATGTTGATCACGTGCACACACACACATGCACAAAAACCACTTTTATTAAATGAAAAGACATTTTATTATATACAGTTTATTTATGTAAATATGTTAAAGCTGTTTTTGTGATGCCTAGCCAATAGCATCTCTAGATGCTAACACATACCTGCTGGAATTTCGTGTCTCAGTTCGCTACCATATCCTTGCAAGCCTTTGTTTATTTATGTCACTTAATGCATGTAGCCTGCAGTGTTAGCTGTGTTTGTCCCATATGGATATGCTGGCTAGGCTTGTTTCTGATTTGTGCTCATTGTTTCCTGACACTTCGAGATCTTTAACTGCTAACGTCTCACCTGACGCTTTAACAGGAAGCCACTGATGCTTTCTAACATTACTCCATCTCTTCATGACATCATAGAAACTCTACTACAGCTGTAGGCCTTCATTTATTTCTGCCACTCTCACGCTACGATTTAGGGCTTTTTCCTCTCTGCACTTTCATTCCTCTTCCCCCCTGGTCCCTTATCTTCATCATCAACACCTTTTATTTGGTAAGGGCTAACACACACACACACACACACACACAAAGATGACAAATATCAGAAGCTACACAAAAAACCCTGGAGCTAGAAGGTAGAAAAGCTCCCAAGTGTAAACCAGCGCACTCCTTCATCTTCCTCCTGCTCCTCGTCTTCGCCTGCAGCTACTTCCTGGACCTTCCTGAACTCTTCTTTGGCTGGACTTTAGCTCATGTTGACCCAGTGACATTCCTGCACCAACTGATTCCTTGTGTTACATTGTAGATGATTTTTCCTGGGACTGTTAGTGATGCATTGATGTTGTGTTTTCTTCTCAAACATTCCTAGTTTCATATTTTTTATAGCCTACATTTTTACACCCGTCATTCAACCATCAAAGGTTCAGGGACGATGCATTTGACGAGGGATGACGTAGATCCTCTTTGTGTGTCTGTTTTAATGACTCCAGACACTAAAATACAGGGGTTACATTTTGATTGACCACACTTTTTTGGACCATTTTACTTCAAGGGTGATGAATGAGGGAGAAGTTTGGATTCATCATTGATGTTCTTGTACCATCGTTTTATCATCCCCTGTGAGGGAATCAGAAAATCCATCTCATCCACCAGCCGTACGACAGGTATTTTTTTACGCTGTTTGTTGCACAAACCTTTTCAAGAAGCCTTCTGCACTGTGTAAAGAGATAACGTTCTTTGGACGAGAGGGGGGGTGGGTTCAGCTGTTCAGTCGAGTGGTTTTGAATCATAACTTGTAAATACGTTTTCATATGGCAAAAAAAAAAAGACTTTTTGATAATGTTTTAAATGTAACTGTAAAAATCTGTACATAAACCTCTGGGGCGGGGGAAAGAAGTGTAGACGATATATGGATTTATTTGTACACAAGAGCACTGGATTTCTTTACTACTTGATTGTAACTAAAAAATTAATACTCTGCCAAAGTGTTTTATTTCTCCCGATCTGTAACTTTTGTTGGCTTTTTAATAGCATTAAATACTTTTAGTGTCCATGTCGTATTTAATTTAGCGGAAATAGATTGTGTGTTTTATAAGAGAAGGGTTTTTTTTTTAATTTATTGGTGCCTTGTTTTGTGCTCCTGTATACTTTTAATCTTCCTCTGTGTCCCTGTGTGCGTCTACAGAAAAATCGTTTTCAGTGGGAGTTCGGGGGGGAAATAGGGGAGAAGGGGTGGTAACAGGAGAGCGAAGGGTGGGGAAAGGTAAAAGAAACAACTTAGCAGTTTGTGTACTGACATGGTTTATGTGTACTGTATGCCAAAATGGTCTCACTCACGTTTCTATGAAATCAAGCTGTTGATAAATATCTCTATATATTGATATAATAAATTTGTAAAAACTGCCCTCTCTGTCTGTGGTCACGTACGTTTCT